TCAACTCCGGTGGATTGGTGAAACATCTTCAACAGCCATTCAAGGAAATCTGGAGATCGACGAAAGCCCGTCAACAGTAGACCATTCCGTTCTTCAAAGGAAATTCATATTTGCATTTCGTTATTATGAACAGCTTGGTCGGGCCACGGAAAATCTACTTGCGCTCTGTTCGTTAGCGAGCTACGGTAAGCGCGATGTTGTTGCACCGTTCGTAAATAATTCGCGAATGGCTGGCATTCCGTACGGAGTTGGACATCATTTTCGCAGAAAACGAGTTGCCAGTTTCAGCCCATTTCAGACATATTTTGACCTACGGCAAGTGAATGATCAACTTAAAGCGAACGGCTATAGCTCCCTAACATCATTTGACGATATGGCGCAGACCTGCAAGCGAAGACTTGATGTTGTCGTTCATTTCTTACATCACGAACGAAAGTCAATAGAAGACGCTGTGTCGTGGTACAGGATCACTGAAAGGGAATTGCAAGATATATATTTGCGAGCAAGACAAAACAAAGGCTGGACAGACTGTCCATATATAAGAAAATCAAATATTGATAAACAATTAGGTGAATTCAAAGTTAGTCGCTATGTTTGCGTGGATCCGGAGATAATCCGAACATCACAAAGACTTGAAGAGGAAGTGCTACAAGGTGCTAATTGTGTTGGAATTGTACAATGGAAAGGAGTAGGCCCTGGTAGGAGCCATTTTACAGTTTCACAGACTACCTTGCTTCGGCCGTCTGATTTACAACACAATGCCGAGTTAGTAAATCTTGCTAGAAGGTTTATAGAAATGTCAGGTCTTGGTAAATCCTTCATTTCCGTGCATGTACGTGCAGAACGACATATATTTCGGCGAGGAATGAACATTACTCGACAGTGTTTTCAAAAACTTGCAGCAAGGGTTAGGAAATTAAAGGCTAAACATAATTGGAATGTATATTTATCAAGCGATATAGTTGACCACGGTTCAGATACGCTAATACAAGACGTCAGCAAAGCAAAGCGATTGAAATTGTATCTCGAATTAAACAAGATATTAGGATATCCAGTAACTTTAAGTCGTATTCAGGGACTTTACGATACTGGAGCAATTGCCATTGTAGAAATGCATATTTTATCGGCGGGAAAAAAACTTGTTACATTAGGCGGAGGGAACTATCAAGAGTGGATAATTCAGTTGTTTTCACAAAATGTTAGCGATTTAACACATTCATTACACCGAGTTTGCGAAATGAGGTAACATTAATTTGTTACATTATTTAAAAGGTTTGTTGTCACTTGAATATGATCAGGATATTGCGCCTTCCAGACACGAAACAGTCGAACTCGCCACCTGCGGAATCCAAAGCGAAATCAATGAGTTGGTAACCGCTTGATATACAATGTAATTGTATTCTTATCTGCCACTGTTTAAGTGTTGAAAATAAATTTGAAAGAGATTTGAGCTCCCCCTTAATATCAACTCACTTAGCATAACAAACCACTGAATTCAATATTGATGTTATTTTAGTAAGCTTTATAAATATCATATTATTAGCAGTGAATAGCGCTACATCCTCTTATGTTTTTAATTATATAGTGAAGACTAACTTAAGACAGCGAGAATGTTTGGCCTGAAATGGAGTTTAAACATGAGAAGTCCTACTGTGTCGGTACATTTTTTCTGCTTGCAAATGCTATATCGCGTTTCCATGTTTTGAGGTAAAAATGCCGAGGCTTTCCCAGCGTGGTGCTCGGCCTTGTGTTTTGTCGAGCCTGACCTCAAGCCATTATCGACCCATCATGGCTGAATTGGGTAATAAATTAGCAGCCAACCTCTCAGGAACGCCCAAACTATTAACAATCTGTCGCACATTACTTCATTTTCTGGATAATGTACACTTTAAAGTGTACATTGCATTCCTAAACACTCGTAATTACTTCTTATCGACCTGAAAAGTATAGTTTATTTTGGAATTTTGTAAGAATACTAAGTCTAAACATTTGCCAAAATATTGTCCCAATGGCAAATCCTCTGTGATCTAAATATAAAAAGTTAGTAATGAATAATGAATTGCAGACATAAGGCTCGGATTATTCGAGGCCGTTTAGCCTTAAATGATGGTAAATGAAAATTAAAAAACACTCTGTTACGTATGCATGATGCACTAAATGATGATGTACTTGATGTATTGAAACTTTCAGTTTCGTTGTTTAAAAGGTACAATTTTGATTTGCATCCAACCAGTTCATCTAAGTCATGAATGTGGGCTCACACTACTGACCGAATTATAGTTCATTTGATTATATTATTTCATGTATTGAAGTTGTTGATCATTGTTGTATATCCATATCAATGTTCAATTAACGCTGTCGTTACTTTTAGCACAGTGTAGTGAATATTGTTCAGAATTGGAAATTAAATATTTATCAATGACGATAATCTCATATTTTGTAACATGTTTAAAATTTATTAATAAGCTTTGTAATAAGTTTCATGCTACACTTCTATATATCGAACCTTGTGTTTGCGTTGACGCTTTGTGTTTACCTCAAAGGTGACTGGTAGCACGTCAATTCGCAATGGCAACTTCTAGTATCTACAATTAGCGTCTTAAAATTAGTGTCTTCAGTACTAATATCCGGATAATGATGATAATCTTGGTTAGGTGATTGTGTCAATTTTCCTGTATCCTAATATTTACACCACCCGCACGCGAAGTTTTTATTTTCGTAAAACTATTTTTTGACACAACGAATAGATTAGATAGCTTCTATATTTAACTGGTTATAATGTATGAGGTCCTCATTTTAGAAATACGGTAAAAACTAAACGTATTATGCAACAGAAAACCGGTTGCCGCTCACCTAATACAGTTCATTCTCATCTTGTTCAGGTACTAAGATTATCCCGCTGAGTATGAAACCGGAATTTTTTAATTTAACGATATCCTTCTTAGTTATATTCGATCAACGCAGTTCTCATTAATCTGATATATCACCTGGCTACTTGGCGACTCGACAGCTAGCGGCGAAAAAGACCTTCATATTCTTTGGAAATTGGCATCAATATATACAATTTTACAATATATACATATTACTTCGAGTCCCTACAGTTTTCGATTTCATTTACAGAACAATAACTAATTTTGTTACCCATATTGTAGTCAAACAGTGAAAATATAGCAACACTTTTTTTCACGTCCGTTTCGTAGATTTCGCAAGTCTATCAATCACCAACTACGACACAGGCCGATTATATATGGAGGGGAATTTCATAATCTCTTTTTCCAAGGAATAACTTACGTTTCCTCAGGCTGTGAAAAAGACACCTGTTTACAATTGACAATTTGTTTAATTTGGGTAAGAATCTAGGAGAGATTGGCCTTAAATAACAGACATCTGACAATGGAACTTTATCAAACTTAGTACTATTATCTTACATATTTCAATGAATTGTTGATTCTATAGCCGGAACGCATGCAGGTTAAAGGGCAAATACGATGGAATGTAGTATTTTTGCCCGAATGTTCTCGCTTGTGTTAATCGGGAGCGTTGCATGACCATAGTCATGGACATAATGCATGGGAATGACGCAGCCATGTTGCAAAATACGTCGTGATCAATTATGCATTTATCAACGATTTAGACACTTCCCGAATATCGAACTAAACAAAGACAACTTAGGCCCAGACATCCAGAAATATCCGAGAACGCGGAGAATGATTACTATAATATTTCATTAAATTCTTAACAAATAAATTTAAAAATTGGAAAAGTATGAACCCGTGCCGTGTAGGAAAGAATTACATATATAGCTACATCACATGTTTTAAAAACGAGATCGGGCGCGTATATGTTACATGTCAAATTATATCAGTGTTGCGTTCCCATGCCCATGGCCATACACGCCAAGTATTTCTATAACATATATGCAACAAATTAAGAGTCTGAAATAACAAGAGCAACGTTAAAACAACACCAAGAGGAAAAGCTGTTTTATAGGTTGGATGAAAACCTGCCGTGAACATTATTTCAGTCTATATACCACCTGGTTGCCAGCCGGTTTATGTGAACGCGGCCATGTCAGTTTTTAAAAATATCAACTATTGTTTTAAAAGAACTACATTGGTGTACTGATAGGTAATGTGTACCTGTATGACAAGATTCCTTTAGTTTATTTATTTTGATGTCTGCAATATATATATAGACACGTGGATATACCTGTGGGTTAACATATATATAATGCATTTGAAGTAAACATACAAGCAAAAATAAAACAATAAATGCAAATCGCTCGCTGAGAACAATCAGGTTTCCATCGAGAAATGGCTTTGCGAAGAAAAATGAAACGGAAATTTAAACGATTGGTATGTCTTGCAATGTGTATTTAGACTGTGTATATAGTTGGCCAAAAATAACAGATCTTTTGTCAATTGGGTATAAATTACATGCATTGTATACGTCGACAGTTCAAGCTGATTATAGTATATATAGGGGAATAATAATACATACATGCAGGCGGAGATATCATGAAATAAGAGTCAAAGAGACTCGGTTGAGCCTAGTTGCTTAGCAAGTAAAGTTTACCTTCAGGCTTTACATATTAATCTGTTACCTCACGTATATAATAACCTGTGAGAGATTTATTAAATTTATTACGTTCGTGATCATCCTAAATTTGGCACACGTAATGTGATTTTGTGTAAAGTCATTACAGCCTGTACACTTAATATTTTACAGTTTGCATTTACAACAGTCGTGACCACAGTCACAGTAATTATTTACTGGAAGATGGTTTTTACACAAGGTAAATGTTTCATGGAGGAATTTGCATTGCATTTCCTTTACTTGTCTTTCAGATATTTCGAGATAAACGAGACTACTTTAGAATAGAATTAAAGCGTAAAAGAAAAGTTGAAAAGACAGTTCTTCGTGACGTCATAATCTGCCATTATAGGCGCCATCTTGGTTGATTCTACTGTTCCATTCATGTTTTTAGAATTCGCTAGGCAAATATCAAATGCAGAAGTTATGAATAGGAGAGAATCGGAGGGAAACACTGTCTGCCGCGTTCTTTCAATACACAATCAACGTGGTGAAAATGACGATACAAAGTACACAAGGCAGTGCAAACCTTGGAGGCCAACAGAGGACGATTGCGCATTCGCTGAGCAATTCTACTCAATTAAAAAGGATATTTACTGCAGGGAAAAGTTAAGCAACACAAGTAGGAAAATCTGTAGTTTTGCTGTAAGTAATCTTCACAAATACGATTTAATCGAAAACATACTGAAGATTCATTGTGATCAGAAGATCTGTCAGGAAGGTCGTTTATTTGTTGGCAGTGTAAACCCAGAAATCGGAACCGTGACGTCACAAGATTGGGAAGAATTTCCCTCAGCCAAATTAGTCGAAACAGCTCTGCCTGGGATCATTTCAGATAATATTAAAAATGGAAATACTTTTTCCCTTATTCGGTGTGTAAAGAAAAATGAGAATATTGACCAGTTGCTTTTCTTCCCGCATATTCTTGAGCACAAAGAAAAAACGGGAGCGTATGTGCGATTTCGTCAACGATATCAGAGGAAACCGCGGAGAAAAACTTTCAATATCAATGTTGTCCTTCTAGATTCAGTTTCGCGCAATCATTTTTACCGGATGTTGAATAAAACAGTCAACATTTTGCGAAAAACAGCACAAAATCCAGAGGTCCTTGTGTTGGATTATGAATTTTTCCAAAGCTTAGCTCCATATACTGCGATGAACACTAAAGGTCTTTTAACGGGAACCACAGGCAAAGATGCGAATGAAATTTTGGATAAAAAATTGGAAATAAATAATTTATACGGACAGCTTAAGAAAAGAGGTTATCGAACACTCTTTCAGGAAGACAATTGCTGGTACGATAAGTGGGGAACAATATTTATGAATAACATCAGAAAAGATAAGCTACCTCAAAATATTGAAGAATTTAAAAAGTCATTTGAACAATTCAGAAATTTCACAAAGATCTCCTACGTAGATGATTACGGATTAACCCTTTTCAGTTGTTTTGTTTTCAACATGCATGGCATTACAAATATGTTCAATGAACCACTGAAAGTCTGTTACGATGGTCAACCAATTTCTACGCATTTCTTGCGATACACCGAACATTTTTTTAGCCATAAAGGCAAACGACCATTGTTTTCGTATCTTCACACTGGTTTTGGCCACGAAAAGACAGGGATACGGATCAAAGCTCTAGACGAAGATTTATCGGTTTTCATACGAAACATGGCGCAACAAAAGAACACTTTGACTATCTTAGCATCAGATCATGGGCCCAAGACAACCACTTATTCTCAGGACTATCTGCATGGTAAATATGAAATTTACGATGCTCTCTTATTTATGATTATTCCTAAGAGAATTCAGAAAGAGTTAGGTACATCAAGAGTAGATGCACTTGTGAAGAATCAAAAGTCTTTAGTAACTATGCTAGATATTCATAACATGCTGATAGATATGACTCAACTTCGTAAGCGAGGGAATAGAGGAGGATTATTTTCCGATATTTCTAACAGAACTTGCGATTCGTTACCATTTGTAAGCTATGGCGTATGCAAATGCAGAGACTGGGAACAGATTTTTATGGATCAATCACCGCGCTTCGTATGGTTAGCGGAATTTGCGACTGAAAAATTGAATAATAAAATACTTGAACAATTCTCCAAGTCCAATCGCTCTGGCTTCGGAAAGTGTCGTAAGTTACGGCTGCATCGCATCTGGAATATACGGCAACGTGTCAAAAACGGTTCCTATATCACAACTTTTGATCTGGTTGTACAGCCATCTTATACAGTCTTCCTCGTTCAGACAGAACATTCCATTTCAGACGAGGGCTTAGTTGATAAAGTGGAATTAAAATCGTGGAGAAGAGTGAGCCTCTACCGTCGTTACATTTCATGCAAAGACAAACCTGTTGATGTGGAATTATGCGTGTGCAATCTCAGACAACGAAATTCCAAAAAAAGAATGTTAAGAAAGATTGCAAATGCAAAAGTCAGCAAAAACAACGAAATTTTCAAGACCCAAACATCATGTCTGTATATTTTACTTACTAAAGGCGAAGACAAACTGCAATTAATATTTTCTTATGATATCATCAACATTTGTGACGAACGTTATATTTTTACACTCTATGGCGGTCGAAAAATTGTCAAGGAGCTACAGCCATATTCAGATACATTTTTACATTCCCTAGTTGTCAAAGACAATAGGAAACCGGTGTTGAGATACAGGTTTAAAAGAACTTGATAGCTGAATGCTTATTTGTCAATCCCTAGCGCAAAAAACATTAAAAAGCGTTTTAATTGGATAGAGAGACTTGCAGCGAGTTAGTCGTCGTTACTATAGTGCAAAAATTACGCACAGAGGCACTGGACCCGCAGGAATTAAAGATCAGAGAAGCCGCTTGCGATAATAGATAAGTCAAAACACGTCGGAAAGTAATTGACCTTGTCGAACCCAATAGCCTCTCTTCCATGCTAACTTAATTTAGCATATTAGGGCTACAAATCTATATTCCCATCTTTTCCAAGAATGGCTACAGTAAAATATGATAATGCAATTCGTATCCCAATCTGCAGCATAGTTCTTCAATTTCATCTTCTATAAATACATGTTTTACTGAGTAATGATGCTATATAGTTCGAATATTTACAATGCATAACAGTTAGTTATTTACACGTAAATATTTTATGTATAAAAATAAAGAAAGCTCTGAGATGAGAAAATAAATATATTTCCAATGTTATGATTACTGTCTTTAAACACACAACGGTATACGTTAGTTTTGAAGCTTTCGATCTTGATCGACAACAATGTGTGAATGGTGCATCTAACGGTCTCTTTCCTTTGTACCTATGATGGGAAAACAATGGACATTCATTGTATGTACATGTATGCATGTATGCCGTAAACAGGGCCAAGGCAGGGCGAAGCCTCTGTCTGTTGTATCTAAAATTTTCTTTATAAGTGGACTTTTCACCTTGGAACATCTCATCACCTTGAACCTGGTTACCATGAGCTAATCTCATTGCATAACCTTTAGCGCCTATGGGGCCGGTTGTTCAAAGCTAGGTTAGCGCTAACCCAGGGTTAAATTATATTCAAGAGTTTTTGTTTATGTGCTTTTGAACCACTGTTCGTTGTAAAACGTTTAGAAAATATGACTTCTATCGGTCCTAAAATTATTTATGAATAATTGACTATAAATCTTACAAACAAGAGGTTAAAAAATTAAGATAAAGATTTGCTTTAAACCAGGGTTAAGCTATCCGGCTTTTGAACAACCGGCCCCATGTCAATAAGTTGTTAGCCTAGGGCCGATTGTTCAAAAGCCGGTTAACTTAACCCAGGGTTAACGCAAATTTTTAGATCAATTTTTTTCATCGCTTGTATATAAAAGTTGAACATTTTTTCCATGAGTATTTTCTGGTTTAATAGAAATCATATTTTGTAAAGTCTTAAAACAAGCGGCGTTTTAGGGACCGCCTGCAGGCAGGCTAATAAGTCGTTGCAGTCAATATTATACTAATAATATTAACCTTCAAAATCAACCTTCAGTCTTGTAATGTAAACATGTTTGTAATAAGATTCCAGCCTCCAAAGAACTAACCTCGGTTTAGAGACAATTTTTGTTGCAAATTGTCTAGTGTTTGTATCTTTCTGTCAAGATCTTCCGAATCAAAGTTCAGCGTGGTCCTGACATCACGTCTTGGTTCAGTTTGATAAGAATAGGTGGAAAAAGGCGGAGGGATGCTTGAGTGGTTAGTTACCAGGTTATTTGGCCTCTCCCGAACTGGCGGGGAATGAAGCATACTGTAATGAAAACGTACATTTTCAACTAACCATTTTTTGAGTGGTTTCTATATTTATATGATTTTGGCTGAGAGGAAGGGACAGATGAGGCTTGGAATATTGGCTGAATTGAGTTATCATATCAGTTTCAATACAATCTAGAGGCTAGACAAAATCTGTTACGTCTGTTGCAGGATAAAAACTCAATTCAGACTAAACGTTCTTTTGTTTACGAGGGAATCTAAATCTATGACTTCAGCGCTAAGTGGCAACAAGATATAAATTTCAAGTTATGATTGTTCGAGGAACAGTGCTTGACGACGAACAGTGTACAGATTTTTTACTTACTTTGGTATGTTGCGAGGTTCTAATCGGTTTCTAGACTCCAAGTTGGTAAAATCACGACTTGTAGCTAAGCCATATGTAACGACTTCATTCGGTCTGTAGTCAAATGCTGAATACACGCCAGAAACAGTTTGTTTTGGGCGAGAAGCGTCTATGCTTCTTGTATATATCTCAGCGAATGAAGTGTCTTTAGTGTCCATCGAAGTCTCTCCTTGCTGCGAGCTAAAGCCATTCAAACTCTCAACCTCATATCGAGGCAGGACACTTTGACTTGCACTGTCTTGGCGATAATTCTTTCGATACGGTTGATCATGCTTTACTGGCCTGGCAGTTGATTGAGTGTTCTTATGAGAACCGTGTTCTGATTCCAGCGGTTCCATGACTTGTTTGATAGATTTCTTGGATTTAGCAACCAAAAATTGCATTCGTTTTGTAGCCACTACGACTCTAACTGCAGTACGGAATTTCGTGAAGGCGGGTGAGAAACGCGAGTAAGGTTCGCGGAACGAGGGATAGGCGCCCATCTTTGCAATCATTGCAAGTGTCCTTGTCTCGTTTTCCCGGAATCCTCCCAACAGTAACACGAGATATTTCTTCTGATAAACCAGAGATTTCCTTGATTTTTCTGCTCTGATGTATCTTGCGTACAGTTTTTGGATCTAAAATTTGAAAGAGTGACATCCGATGAGTGTTAATTTTAACTGAATTAATCCCAGAGTTTTATTAATTTTAACTGAATTAATTCAGGACATGCTAAAGCAAAGATAGTCGCACGAAGGAATTCGGAAAGCCATTAGATTATAGCGTCGTTTCACGACTCCGTATTCACTGCAGGTGGTGTATTACGACAGGCTTGTTACGTACTCTTGTTGGCGTCCAGTGGGAAACAAGAGTCTCAGATGATTGTAATCGTCTAGCCGAGGCTGTTTGCTTCTCCACCTGGTCTTCCATGACTTGCAATGAACGCTTAGCCTCGTCTACTTCCATTTCCTTCTCGCATAGTTTCTCCTGCAACTCATTCATCTTCTTCTTTTGTCCCTCTACTGTTTGATGTAAAGCAAGACGGTCTTGAGCCGCGCGACTTCGCTCAGTCGAGAGCATCGCCTCCGTCTCGTGTTTATTTCGCTGCATAATCTGGTTCAGAAAAGCAGAAAGAAACAAATTTTATTAAAACATTGTACAAACATTGTACAAGATATCAAAACATCTTACCTCCAAATGGTTGGCCTCGCGATCTCTATACTCGGATACCTGCAGTTCCAAATGACACAGTGTGCTGCGTAATTCGCTTTTCTCGTCCGTCAGCTTTGCTAAATAGTCCGACATTTCTTTGTTTTGCTTCACTATCCTGTCGTAAGCTGCAGTCTTGACGGGTGAAAGTCGGATAGGCGAACCCTGGTAGAAAAAGCGGAAAAATCATCTTAAAACTGAATTTACACACCGGAAAATTTTCCTCGGAGAAGGAAAGTTTTCGGAGGAAAATTTTCTGAATACAAGATTTTTTCCGGTGGAAAAAATTTCAAATTACTTTGCGGTTCTTTCCTCGGAACAGAAATATTTCCGAATGAATTTTGAAACGAATCTGCTGCGCATGCGACCTGCGGAAAATTTGGCGTTCCGAGGAAACTTTTCCGGGCTGTAGATGCAGCCGAAAACATCGTGAAAACAGGAAAGGCTCCGCCAGAGACCGTTGTCGTTTTACAAAAACATACCGTCTATAATTCTATGTATTCGAGAACTAACTGTAGCAGTTATCTGTGAATCGCGAAGTTATAAAGAGATTTCAAATCTCTGGCTGTAGCATTAAATACCGCTTTTTAGATAAAGTTGAAGCTAATCCACAAAATATAGGTTCCTGACAATTGAATTAGGCAATCTGAAGTTAATAAAACATACTTCAAATATAGTATTTACAGTCCTTTCTAAATGATATATATTCTGGTGCGGGTAAACATTCTGACGTACATGACATACCCTACTCTCGAAACTGTGCTTTCTCCTTGGTTTTCTCTTATAAGACTTCTTCTGATGGTGTCGTTTTTTGCTATGAGACGTTTGGCGAACGCTAGATGAAGCTCCACCAGAGTTGGTTTTTATATCATTAAAATCTTCTTCACTTGTCTCATGGGCTGTCTTATACTCTCCTTTTTCGCTGGAAGTGTCCACTTTTCCACTTTTCCCCATGTTTTTCAATTGATCGCTTGGTTTTTGTTCATTTTCTCGAACGTTTTCACAAGATTGGTTTGTTTCCTGTGACAAGTCGCTACTTTCCGCATCGCTTGCCGTCGTTTGACTTGTAAAACTGGATTCCTGGGACTTCCCTGAGTTCTTCTTGATAAACATCGCCTTGCAGTCACCGCACTGGTTGTTAGTCATATGCCAACAACATATAGGATGATGAAGTTGGTACTTGCTATGCAATTGACAACATGGTAAGTCGAACATTCCTTCAAGTTGGAGATGTCGACTTTCAGGTCTACCAGGATAAGATGACTTGCTTGCATGTGTTTCTCTATCATCATTGTTTTTGGTAACCTTTTTATCGATGACATCATGATGTTTATCGACACCCAATTCTTTCTTGTGTTCTGTTTGCGTTACAACTTTACTCCCTTCCCCACTTGTAGTTCCTGGTAAAGTGCTGTGACGTCTTTGCTCTACAATAACACTACCATCAGGGTTGTCTCCAACACAGTGTAGCTTTCCGTCTCGGGCCGACGCCATTGTACCGGATACTTCATGTCTTCTTTCATTGCCAGTCAGAATGTTTTTATCATCATATCTTTGGAGAAATGTTTGGGTTGGAACATGTTCTGCGGAAGTATCTTGTGACTTAGTTTCTAACTCACGGTATTCTTCTTCACCTTCTTCTTCAATAATGGACAAATTAAATTTAAGTTTATTTCCTCGTTCGTCCTCTCCTTTCAATAAAATATTCCTCGGAGAGATCACCTGTGATTGACGGTCAGTTTCACCTCCTTTTTCCTCAAATCGAGGTACGCGTACGACAGTGCTTTGATCCTTTGACTGGAGATTATCAGGCAACTCTCCATGGTGAATTTTGGGGCCACGACTTTCAGTTTCATAAACGATGCTATTTTGCCCATTTCTGTCGCTATTCTGTCCAGATCTCGTTAGCGTAAAACGAGGTGTTTGTATTTTCATGGAGTTTGCAGGGCTTTTATCTTCAACAATTATATTAGTACCCCAAGGCGTCTCGTCTTGGTGAATATGTAATTGATTATCAGAAAATATATAGCGATTGGAGGAGCTTCGTGGTTGTCCATCAACACAAAACTGGTCCATCTCGTGATCACTATAAATACAATATTTCTCTATTTGGCCGTCTTCACCCTCATGAATATCATCATAGTTCTCGTTCTGTTCGATAGGTTTCTCATTTCTTTGAAAATGCTGTTCCAATCCGCCATCTTCAATGTAAAAACTGTCACGGCTATCAAACGGGCGTTCATAAACGGAATACGTTATTTTATTGTCATTAGTATCTTCATTCACCTCATTACGAGGCGAATCGTTGTCAATGTTTACACCCGTGTCTCGCCGTGCTACAGTAGGAGTTTCTTTACAACCCTGCAAGAACTGATCATCCACATCGCGATGCAACTCGTGGTCCTGAACGAGACCAATATGTGTAGATCTTCTCTTTGTTTGTAATTCCGGGACTGTGCCTGTGACAGGCTGCACATTACCATTATGCACAGTGGGTCTTCGTAGAGAAGATTCTCGAGGATAACGATCAATTTTGATATTTTCACCTTCACTAGTAATCACATCGCGAATGTATTGTTGACCTGGAGTAGAATGTCGTTTTAATGGGATATTCCGTAGTTCACTGGCCCTTCGAGTTCCGTCCATACTCCCCCGAATATTTGCGAAAGATTGTCTCGGCTTTCTTTTATCCACCGAATACCTTCTCGCATCCGACATTCCTGGTCGATTTTCTAATGATCTTAACTCATCCTTATTTATAAAAACAGCCATATTTTCACGACCATTTTCAGCGGTTGTATGCCTCCTTAAGAAAGCAGAATTGGGACTACTCGAATTTCTTTTCTCCGAGTGAATGCTTGGACCTGATTCGGTACTGGTGAAATAATTTCTCGACGAAATTCTTCCATATTCATCCTCGTCTCCAGCAACGGTATGTCTTTTAAATGCCTCATATTGACCGCGGACCTTTCTCAGGTTCTGCTCATTTTCGCTTGTTGAGATAATATCGTCATCCGAAGTTTCGACGACAGGATCACGAACACCACCTTCCTGTGGCAAATCGTTATGTTGGTTTCCACTTGAACGTATATCTGCCATAGTATGCCTTTTACTCTCGCTGGGAGTATTTGAACTAGTTTGTTCATATCCCAGCCACCCACGAAGATTTTCCATTATATAACCAGCGATTGTATTTCTTCGTGATATATTCCTGTCTTGTGGACGAAATGCTGTAACGTCAATCTCGCTGTCGCTAAATGATTTACGCAATCTCGATTCAGTGTTCTTAGGCTGATCATCATCATCATTATCAACACCATTTATAGTATTTTGAAGCTCGCTACCCGCATACGTACTCCTTCTCTGACCAGCATTTCTTTTGAAGTTTTCACGAAGTACGCCACCCTCACTATACCGTCGTGAAGTGTTCGGCTCAACACTCAAAGATCGTCTTCCTTTTTTAATTTCCTTTGTTGTTAATTTCGACTCCGGGTCTCCAGCGTGATCATCGATGATTTGAGGTTTGCTGCCTGCAAAAGTGTTTCTCCTCTGCCCAGCATTTCTTTCAGAAGACAGATTTAGCACATCACCTTCTGTCCTGCGTCGAGGTATTTTCGGCTCAAGGTTTGATTCTTTTTGCCATTTTATGTCGTTACTATTTTTTTTAATTTCTTTTGTTGATAATTTCGACTCCGTGCCTCCAGCGCGATCATCGATGCTTAGAAGTCTGTTGCCTGCAAAACTGTTTCTCCTCTGGCCAGCATTTCTTTCAGAAGAAAGATTTAGTACATCACCTTCCGTCCTGCGCCGAGGTATTTTCGGCTCAACGTTTGATCCTCTTCGCCATTTTATGTCGTTACTAGGCAGCTTTGGTTTAATGCTTTCAACATCAACTTCATAATCACTTCTTCTGCCAGCAAAAGAACGTCTCCTCTGACTAGCATTTCTGTCAGAAGAAAAATTCATGATATCACTCACTGTATGCCGCCGTGATGTGTTCCCTTGTTTCATTGTTTTCGTAGATTTTCGACGAAAATCTTCACCATATTCTGAAGTTCGAGACTCAGTTTTGTAACCACCAACTTCTGCGCTTTCATCAATTACAGAAATTGGTTCATTAAGAGTACCTATTCCAGACTCGGTATCAAAGTTTTCACAATTTGCTTTGTTATTCCAATCATTCGTATTATTTCCATCCGATGAGGTGTGCTCTTGCAAAATATTTTCGTTACTTTTGCTTGTTTCAGAGTCCGTCATCAATTGCTTGATTTCTCACGTTCATCGCAGATTGCTTTGTGATTATATATTACAGCAATAGTCTTGAAAATCGTACTTGTGTTGTTCCGGAATCAGTATTTTATTTATTAATAAAATTTCGCACGCGCGCAAAGCCAATTGATGACGCAATTCGATTAACGAGCCGTTTCCCATGCATCGAGCTGGGTACTGGGTCCTGAGTAGGGTGACTGCAGGGGGCTATGAGCAATCGCAGTACCTTTCTTTGCAAACAATTCATAGATGCTTGCGGTTCCTGACTAGACCCAGTACCCTACTCTATTGGGCAATGGCTAATAATTTCTTTTTAATAAATCCAGCTCTAGATATTACGAAATCACCAGACTGCGGTGTTTACAGACTGTCATTTTGTGAAGATCATTGAAAGTAGTAAATATAAATTTCTTACTTCTGAAACTGCACTAACTTGTTTCTTCATTCTATCCATTTCAAAGGACAAGTTCTGAACTTGCGAATACAATCCTCTCACTCCAGGCGAACTAGAATTAAAATACATCTGATAATGCGACCGCAAAACTCCTGAATCAGCAACCTTGTATTCTGAGTTACCCTGATTCGTCGTATAATCAAACTTAATTTCAGTTATAACTTACTCATCAGAGTTTTTCAGCTGCTGTTCAAGATATTCTTTATGCATGATAAGTAACACGCGATGTTCATCTATGATTGATTTTAAGTCATGACGTAGAATATTTAGACGATCCTTTGATGGGCTGTTTGGTGGTGTCTGAAGTTCAAATAAAAGCATATCACTGGCATGCAGGTGATAATCGCATACTTCATTTTCCTATTCCACTTCTAAGTACATTCAAATAAGGCTAAGGGATGACCTAATGCCATAAAAGAACGCCTGTTCCGTTGTTACCTTAAACCCAGCCATTTTTCTGCCATCTTTTAGACACTGCAGTTCTTGACTCAAGGTTTCCAATTCTGAATTCCGGGCATTCAAAACTTCCTCTAAATTTCTTTTTAACGCACATTCATGCTCAAGAAGATCTTTCAAATTCCCAACTTCCATTTCACGAGCAGCCTTTTCCTTTTCCAAATCTCTTTCAAGATTTCTTTCCTTCGTTCGGGCTCCCAAAGCACTCGCTTCGTGAATGTCTCTTTCTTTGCGTAAACGTTTAACGCGACTTCTCTCTTGGTCAACAACATCTATTTGATTGCGTAACTGCTCCTGAAGTAGAAAACAAATTGTTCCTTAAAAATTAAAAAACGTTGTCAGAAAAATAAATTTAATTGTTTCTATCGCAAAATCGCAAACTTCAAAAGAACGTAAAATTAGTATATAATTGTTATATAATAGAACCGTATATAGTATATAAATAGAACGCGTCGACGATCAGATAACATGCAGATAAAACCAATTACCGATATCTCTGTTTCTGAGACATGCTTAAAGATACGAAATATTCATTTATCACTGCAGAGAACAACAAAAATTCGTTGTCTCGGGATTTGCATAGGCATCTTCGGGTTATTATAAGCCCGCCTTTCTAGTTAATCATACAACTATAGTTGTCGAGTCATCATTTATTATTAGCGATCCAGGTCTATATATCGAGGTCACCGAGTTTAAATCCCGCTTGATACAACGAAATCGTCCCACTCTACAGTTAACAGACTTCGACTTACGAGATCAGTGCATGTGTCTATTGATTAAAGTCCTATCTCGAGGTGTAGATATAAAACTTTTGTTGAGAAGATGTGATTGTCTATTGCATAATTATATGTACTGAAAAAACCTAATTATTTTTGGCCCATCCTGAAATGTATTCTTTTTCTTAGAATCATGATGTGCTAAGTTAAGACAATGCATGGTTACCTGCACAGCGGTCAGAGATATTTGAAGTTCTTTGACAACATTGCGTTGTGTATCGTCTGCTTTTTCAGTTTCTTCATAATCATTGTCGAGTGCGTTGCGAAGCTCTTCATTCACCCGTCTTTCATTTTCTAACGCTTTACTCAATTCTAGATATAAAATGTCATCAAATGTAGCTTTGTAACACGTGTGGGCAACATTTCAGAGGGTCGACAATAAAAATATAACCAAATATAATAAGTCTTTAATTTTATGGTCAACAGAACGTTTGAAGGCGACAATGATATCCTCCTGCATTACGTAACATATACAATTGTTTGGCTATGATCACGTAATAATAATAAATAAATAAATATAGGAATTCATAGCTACTGTTTTTTAGTATTGACCAAATTAAGTCACGCAACCTTTAGCAAAAACTAAAAAACTTGCAACTAATCTCTTTTTGAAACTAATTTGTAAGAAACAAATCTGTACAAAAGCTAATCTATAAATGAACTAAAATTAAGCTAACTAATATTATTATACTAAAAGCTTACCCGTTATCAACTGTTCTTGCTTTGCGATCTGTTGATCTACTCCATGAGAAGAGATTCTAAACCTGACTTTAAATCTTCAGAGACTTTCCTTTCCTCATTTATCGACGTGACAAGTTTACCGTTTTCGGTTTTTGTCCTTTCAAGTTCATTGCGAAGATCATGGATGAGATTTTTCATTTTGTCTTAAATTATTAAAATAAAAATTTTAATATTCCAATGAAACACGAGAACAAAACAACTCGAAATATAAAAGCCCGGCCTGCCCGGGTAAACAGGGATCAAATTTATCATCGAAAATTGCAAACACGTCATATTTGGAGTATTTCTACCTTATACTAAAAGATTTATACGCATATAATTTTAATTAGTGCCAAATAGTCTTCTGTATCTAATTTCTCACGTAACCTCTTCCAAACCAATCGTCCAATAACGGTCGGAATTACGATGTTTTCAGCATAAGTGTTTTTATCTGGGGAGATCATGCATTCTGCTTCATAAATAGCCCACAATTATAACCTGGAGAACATCAAGAGAAAGAGAAACCTACCATTGTCAGGTACTGAGACACTGTCTTTATTTGCTTGTTCCTTTTGCAACTTTGTGTTTTTGGTTTTCTCCTCCCGTAACTGTGTCTCCAACTCGGACAACTGTTGTTTACCTATATGTAAAATTGATAATATAATATCGATTTGACTGTAATCGCTTCACTTTCAAATTAATTTTATTTCCAAAAAAATCTATTATATATAGCAAATAATGACAAGTACATGAAGTATTCAAAATGGAATCCGGTTAGAGAAAAAGTTAGGTCAAGACGGTTAAAGTAAATCCCAGCAATGGAACTGCCAGGGAGAATTGCACAATCACAGTCGTACTTAGCAGTAATTCGTCCTCCAAATCTTTGATAGTTTCATGTTCTCTGTTCGATATATCCTGCAACAACACGCTCTTCTTTTCAAGTTCTCGTTCTCGTGAATCAACGTTTAATCGTTCATGTTTCAATGCCTGCTCTAGATTCGAGCATCGTGCTCTTTCGCTTTCTAAACATGTCCTAATAAAATAACCATTATCAAAAACGAATTATTGAAACACTAGTAACTACCTATGAAAACCTAACAATTTCTTTGTATAATAAGTTGATAACTAGTTGTGAAGAGTAAAATTGTTACCGAAACATATGACGACTTCTCACTTTCTTCATTTACTCTTAATATTTAGAAAAAACTTCTTGCTATATATTGCATCTGCGTCATACTCACTTAATAACGGTGTTTTGTGTTTTTTCATTTTCTAACGCAGATTCCAAATCTTTCAGACGGGACTTGTTCTTATTCGCGATATCCTTCAGCTCTTTGGTTACATTTCTTTCGATGGTTAGTTGATTATTTGCATGAATTAGTTGTTTCGTTCCCTCGTCTCTTTCGTTTTTAATGGTTTCAAGCAACTTATGCGCCTTTTGCAAAAGTTCTTCCTTTGATGTAACTAAAGATAAGTTAGAAACTATTAATTCCTCTAACTTTAACTCCAACATCTATCGAGATCATGGCGCAAATGAGAAGAACAGATAAAGCTTTGAACTAATAGCTTAGCACGAAGGACGTCAATATGACTTTCACCCCACACGTGAATGACCACCCCCACACCTCATTCCGACCATGACGTAACGATAGCTATGTGGACCAAATAGAAATGTTGTCAAGTTGCCTCTTTAGCTCCTGTTTTTATGCTTCAAACTGTTCATTTCTACCCATACTCTCAAAAAGCATGCACCAATCTTGACCCTTTACCTTGTTGAAGAAGTTCCTTTTCACGTTCTTTCACTTGCTGCTGTATGGCTTTGAAATGGTCTTCTAGTTTGTTGTTCTGCGAAAAATTAAGAAGCCGCCATAGATGTAATACGTTTTGTGTTTTATGATTGCGTTGGAATTACGTACTCCATGCACTGTGAATCTTGAAATATTTTGAGCCAATTAAACTGAACAAATTTGGTCATGCGCTTTTGTTATTTTGTGTGTGTTTTTTGACAACAACTCGTCATAAATGTCATTATTATATGTGTATAGAGATTTATGCACAGCAGAATGATGAAATAATAATCGTATTTCACTGTACAAATTAATTTCATGCAATTTGATTGGAAGTACGATGTTTTTCATGTGTGAAAAAATGCCATACACGGCTTTTGATTGGACGTACGATATTCTTCACACGTGAAAAATTGTCGTATGTCATTTTGGCGGCAATTTGTTTACATTTTCTTTCAAGATGGTGTCGAAATATAGGAGTGAGATTCAAAACATAATTCTCATATTTCACATAATTCAAGATATTTTTACATTCAGCACATTCTCAAATCTTTCGGAAAGAATGTCTAACTTCTATTGAACAAAATTACAATGAAACTGAACGGTAATAAATATGTTTTCATGCATAAAGTTTCGATTTGTTGCTCGCTGTGTTTTTACTGCGTCGCGCACTGCGCGGACGCAGTCTTAAATTGCCGTCGGTGTTGTTTTTTTTTGTTTTTTTTTGTGTTTTTTACGTTTTCGACCCGGTTTTCCTGGCCGCGCAGGCCAACTAAGATACTCGTATTTTGAACTCGTCTGATTTCGTATCGAAATATTTTCGTGCTAAACACACTTCAAATAGTAATCTAATGGCTGCTTTCCAGTTACGCGTTTTTCATACGCACGTACACGCACGCAAAAGTCTAAATCCTTTTGCATGATATCTTTTAAAAAACTAAGTAAATAAATCGAAGGAACTAAGTTTCCTGCTTATTTTAGTATGCATTAGTTGACCTAGATGTTAAATAATGAGAATTTAAAAGCATTTAAAATTTTCCGTACGTGTACGTGCGTATAAAAAACGCGTAAGTGGAAAGCAGCCTTAAGCCTAGTAACCCCCACAAAAGAAATATTTTACTGAAACAAAAATATGAAAAAGTTTGTTGTCGCCGGGATTCGAATTTGGGTCGTGCGAACCAAAAGCAGGAAACTGCATGCACGATACACGTCATATAAAATAACACGTACACGAGTCGCTGTGCATGGCCGATAGCGCAGGAGGTCTAGACGTCTGTCGTTCGAGAAAATACGTACAGGTAATCATAATGCTGGATTCTCGTCTTGTCGTGTTTGATATGCTCACTCTGCATACACTAGCACACACTGATCATGGTAAACCTACACTAAAACGGGTTTACAGACAACGATCACATGAATCATGAAAGCCTTGTATGCCATGAAAGCCTTGTATGAAAGCCTTGTATGCCATTCTATGCCATTTTTCAATCAAACCGCACCTTCCTTTCGAAGGGTAAAAACGGCCAGACCGATCCTATTGAATTTCAGTACAAACTGATTCCCAGAGTACATGATTCCAAACTCAGCCATATTCACGTATATGGTTAGCTACATATGCCTAGCACCAATAATACAGTTTTACCCCTATATTCTGTACGAAGTGCTCTATTTACTAGAAACCCTAAGAAAGAAACGTTTTTCTAAAGGAATAAATATTGACAGGAAATGGGGCACAGTTGCATGCAACGATTGGCGCGACGCAGTAACCGCCAGAATTGGCGTTTTGTTGTATATTAAAAGCGTGTCGTTATCAAATTGATCTCTATACACATTTAATAAACAAATTACTTCATGGTTGGCTCGTTTGTACGATTTCTATTATGCACTTGTTGCGAAGGATCGCAAACTCACTCGTTCGCTGCGCTCACGCGTTCGTATTGCGATCCTTCACAACTCGTGCATAAAAATCGTACGCACTCGCCAACCATGAAGTAATTTCTATTTATTATATTGTCAAAGTTTGTTTTCGTAGCGTTTCATTGGTCGAGAGCGAATCACGCGAGAGTGACAGAATTTTGATGTCGCCAGCGCGACGCCCTCTCAGATCGAGTGTGGAAATAACAACTTTTGCCATTTGAATAGATATTTCGTTGTTTACCTTGTAGTTTGGTTTTTCTTTGACAAGTGGTATATAATAAAACACTTATTTACCGAGACCTCAGAAAACATTATGTTTTGTGGAACCTCGACCATCGATATTTCACTCGGCTTCGCCTCGTTTTCACTTCGAGGTCTCGGGTCCACAAAACATAAAGTTTCCTTCGTTTGCAGTAAATAAGTTTTAAATGTTACATAATACATACATGCTCAGGTTTTCAGTAGCTAATATTTCAAATGTTCGAGGACATTTCTGTGTGTATAAGTATAGGAAGAGGATATCTTAATTTGTAGTCGCGACAACCGAGCGACGGTATATTAAGATTAGCGGGGAAAGACAGTTGGAAACCCCCAACAATTTGAAGTTAATCTATATTTAACAAAAGTCCCTGCATTTTAAACGGTTAAATGATCGAGTTTTTATAGTAAACACACATAGAGACGGCCCGATATGGACAGTTGATTGAATATGACACTTATTACAGCGTTATAGCTATATATATGCTTTAATAGCTCTATTACCTCATGCGTTAGGTCTTGCTTCACGGCTAACATCGATTTCTTCAAATCTTCAATTTCAGTTAGTAAAGACATTCGGTCAGCTTCATAGAGTCTATCCAAAGATTCACGGTGTGTATCATCCTACAGCATTGAATTACGCCAAAAGGGACATTAATCAATACAGAATATTTGAATTTTTTAGTATATCAAGTGGTAATTGTGTAAAACAAATATGGTAAATATGTGTATTTCATGAATATTAAGCGGCGGGGAATACAGGGTGTCTCGAAAAAACCGCAACCACTTAAATATGCAAGAATATTAATATTGTTCGCGTTTGCACCATAGTTCAGCTAAAATGCTTTTAGCATTTTAAAATGAAGGATTAAAAGCCATTTTCAGTCCCCAGAGGCGCTTATCTATTGCACTTTAGAGCTGTGTTAATGTTCTTCCATATTTAAGGTTGGTTGCGTTTATTTTGAGACACCCTGTATAGCACATGCCAAGATGGTTAATTCACATAAAGGTAAAAGTCTAGCTTCTTGGACCTGTTGTACAAAACATAATATGTCTGGCTCTAACATTTAAAATCTCTGTAGCAGGGAGATTTTCCTGTCTGCAGAATGTTATACTATGCAGGAATGTAGTAACGAAGTGAACATTTTTGCAGGTAAATTAAATAGTTAGGTTCCAACCTGTTGTTGTTGCCGTCTTCTGATAAGGTTTGACGCTGAAATTTCATCTTCAGGTGAAACTGTCTCTATTGCATCCAATTCTGATGAAAGTATTTCTTCCTCCTTCTTCAAAACCTAACGTTAATTTACAGATAGATGTTAAAGACACTTCTGAATGTGAAGGTCGATAAACAAATGTAGTGAATAACTTTCTACTTACATCCAAAACAGCAGTGACAATAACCCCTCTCCAATCATTGCTTGTGGATGTTTCATCCTATTCATCAAAATGATATTTTAGTGTTTACTTCATAAGGCTTATTTACTTGAATCAAATGAACATACCGTCAACTGCTCGATTGCTTTTCTTAAGATTTGTCTCTCTTCCTCCCAAGCAGTTTGAAGTGACTTGACATTATGGTCGTGAAATGCTGGTAGGCTGTTGACCAACTTATACACAGCACTAGCGTCCAGTCGTAAGTCATCTAGAACGGACTGTAAAAGAAAAAATATTCACCATTACAGATACAGTAGTGACTTGTTATGAACAGGAAGAGATGGATGATTTTGTACCGAGCGCACTATGATTTCTCAATATAGTTCGCAGCCATCGACGGGAAGAGTGAGTAGTTTTAGTGTAACTTACTTCAATCTTTTCTGTGGTAGAGGAGTTCATATCCCCGTTTTCCCCAAAACTCTCATGGCTCAATTCAGACAAATAACCAGCTATGGTTCTAGTGAATCCGTCAACATTCTTAAGCTCGTTGTTCAGCCGATACTCAACATGAAGATCTACAGAGAAACGAAGTTCTTGCTCAATATGTACATCCAGAGTAAAAACAGGTCAAACGAATGAGAAAGCCAAATAAAGATGACCCTATTTATTGGACAAAACCGGCCTGAAATAAAGTCAGGTCATTGTTAAATTTTGTTCATACCTTCTTCAAACTGCAGGCTCTGTTGCTCGGTTGTAAATTCCAGGATTGGTTCTTCTCTTGCACTATTTTCAACAGTTTCCAGCAATTTTGTTCTTTCTACCGCATTCCTGACATCCGTTTCAAACTGAGCTTTACACGACAACATCTCCTGCATATGTTGTTGCTTAAGATCATTAATGTGGGCAGTGATCGTGTTGTTACTCTGTATTAAAACAAATCAGGTGCATGCATGTGAAATAAAGATATATAAATTATATTGATTACATTTCAAATAAAGACCAACATTGAAGATTACACGGGTAAACCGTAAACGGTTCCCATACCTGTTTTTCTTGATCAAGTTTAATTTTTACATCAGTTAACTCTTCTTGCAAAGCTTTAAGCTATAAAAACACCACGAATGATCAATATATAGTGTGTCTCCCTAAAAAAGTGACACTATGGAAATTATCTTATTGTTTTTAAACCTCTCCTAAATGCGCGTGAGTAAGCACCAGGGAATTTATTGAATCATACTGTGTAAACAAAGACTCTGTTTTGTCAGTTGAGCCATGATTTCATATAGTAAGTGGACTTTTATTGTAATAGGAGTCTAAAATTAAAAAAGCTGCTGCCTATGCATCTGTCGTAGCGCAGGCATACAAATTAAAACAATAGGATAACTTCTATAGTGTCACTCTTTTGGGGAAACACTGTAGTCATTTTCAACTCATTAATTGACACCCTCTTATATATTTCACCACAGCTAAGGGAAAGTTGATACTTGATATCGATAAATCATAACTACAACAAACACTATCCCACTATTATCCTACAATTCTTCACCAACAACTAGTTAGCACTGCTACCATTTTAACTACAATTAACACAAAAGTTGAAATTAAGACAAACGAGATGGTATAATTACCTTTTCATTTACAAGCTGAGTAACTTCATTCGTCTGCGTTTTATAAGTTGACTCCAGATTTTTCATGTTTTTCAAAATTTCTTGCATCTTAGTTTCTCCTTCTTCAACATGACTTTCGGCTTCAACAAGAGCGTCTTTCAGTTTCCTAATCTTCTCTTCGTCTATAACTTTCTCATTTTCAGCTTGGATCAATTTTACACGATGTTCTTCAAGAATATATTGTTGATTTACCAATCCTTCCTTCAGTTCTTCAACAGTCGCTGAAATGGAGTCCACTTCGGTTTCTTTTTCATCTAAAGACTTCTTCAGTTCGGTTACTTCGTTTTCTAAATTGCTAGCGTTAGTTTTTAGCTCTGTGTATGCTTCAGTTTGTTCAGAAAGTTTTCTTTCCAGTTCCGTCACAGCTTCGGCTTCGGGTTTCATTTTATTCAATTGATCCTAAAATATAAATTATAAATCGAGACTTCTGGGACGCAACATTCAAGAAAATGTCTGTTTCTAAAATAAATCGTCTCTTTCGAGGAAAATCTTCTTCAAATTGTAATGTTTTCATGCATAAAGAAATAAATACATCTAATTAGTAGAAGAAGTGTTTATTTTCTTGTGGACAAGGCATTAGGGGAAAAACGCTTGATAGAAAATTTACATTGAGAAAAAATAGGCAAATAACATATTTTTCTCACCTTAAACGACGAAGCTTCAAGGCAACTATCAAAAAGCTGTTGTTGTAAGTTATTTTTCTCTTCCTCCCATGCAATTTCAGATTCTTGGAAAGCATTTTGCAAGTCATCCTTATCTTTAGAAATATTCTGCAAATCACTTGTCAAGCTTTTCACGCTTATTTTCAATGTAGCTACCTCTTTCTTCAGCGATTCATTTTCCTTGAGTAATTCTTCATTTCCGTGTATTTCATGTTTCTCTTGCTCTTGCTTCGAGCGGACTCGTTGAATTTCCTTTTCATACTCCTGTTTAAGATTGAGAAACTTGGCTTTGTTTTCACTCAATTCTCGTTCTATCTCCACTTTATCGTCTTTTAAATTGGACAGTTCGTTGTCAAGTGTTTTCTGTGCTTCTTTCAATTGAACATTTTCCTTCTCTTTATTCTTAAACTCTTTTTCAAGAGACTCTATTTTCAAGTTCAACTCGTCAGTCTCAGATGTTGCGGGTTTTTCTTCTGGTAATGCTTCTTCCTGTTCACCTGAATACGCTGAACCAGAATCCTCTGATAAATGCAAATGGAGTTCGCTTTCAGAGTCTTTTACCTTATTTTGTAATTCTTTAATTTTCTCGGATAATAGTTGTTTTTCTTTTTCGTAAGCCTTTTCCATGTTCTCGGTCTTAGATTTCAGAGTTTCGATCCCGTTGAGGAGTTCCTCCTTTTCTTTTATAAGTTCCTCAATTTCTTGTTGCACTTCTGCGTTCCGCTCCACCAAAAGCCGTTCTTCCAAACGCAACTTTTCATTTTCCGTTTCCTTGAGAAGGTGTTCAAGTCTTTCTTCGTTTGCCACATGAACTTCTATTTCCTCTTCAGCATTCCTCAGTCTATTCGTTGCCTCTTCCTTGGTTTCAATTTCCTCTTGAAGACGCAACATAAGCACATTTTGTGCTTGAGTCAGCTGGTTCAGTTCTTCAGTTCTCTGAGTAGTTGTATTCAGTAATTCATCTTGGGTCTTTCGAGCATCGTTCAACTAAACGCAAATCAATAAAATAGTGAATATAGTGCCTTCACTATATCACGAATAACGACTAGGTGTAGGCTTAACCGTCCCTTTTTATCAATGATTTTAGTTACATGCTCAGTTTCCTCTTTTTTAGAATTTTAGCCAATTTCAGAGAATTTCATTTTCAAAATCTCTTAAGTTTGATTTTCTTATTTTACTTTCTGTTATAAACATCTGGTTGCCAAGAAACAGGTAATCTTAAAATTACAATACCTGTCTACTAACAGAAGCTACAATATCGAGAAGTTTCTTCACAGCAACTCTCAAACGATTCCCTGAATCTATAAAAAATAAATCGCACAGTACTGTATGCTCATCGGATTTCAACTTGCATTTCAAGTATATCGAAGCAGTTTAAACAATAGTTTGAAGTATGACAGTTTCTGCGCCTTGATGCGATAACCGTGAAACAAATGACACGCTAATAACACACTAGCGTTATAATCTCGAATTAGTACTTTGAATTTCTTCTAATTAGGAAATAGTCTCGGTTTGATTTTTTTCTAAATTACCGCGAAGACCTATAGTGAGAACCTGTGACTGTATGGTATTTACTAAATCAAACAGATATAATGAATAAAGTAACTTACCCACAACAGTTTCATCATTTTGAATATCCAATGAGCCTTGATTGTCACTTAAAATTACAGACACCTCAAGTCCTTCATCACTCAACAAAGATAGGTCAGCTTGTTTGTCCTCAGTTACAGTTCGTTCATTGTCATCACTATCGTCTGAAAAAAAGGATAGTATTTTCAGAGTATGAAAGAAAAATTATATACTTGGAAAAACATTAAGTTATATTTTTCAAATTCGAGGAGCCAAGGTGAACGAATATCATCCCATTAGAAATATGACAACAAATGTCACTTCGACCCCCTCCTGCCACTTGGACTATTTTGTGACATTTCCTTTATGCATGCGCCATTTTAATTTTTTCCTAAAAGACCCTGGTAAACACAACAATGAAAAACTCCGAAAGGACCATATAATCCCATTTAAGATAAATTTCAAAAATTAAAAATCATCAGCACATCTGGAAAGAGCATCCCAAACTTAGTAATATTGGAAAGTGGTCCGTTGTATATACTTTATATTGTTATTATGCATGCAGGTTGGAACGTACCAAGAGCTCTGGCTCCTTGAGGAGCAGCAGGTGTAGATGATGCCAACATCGCGCCAGCTTGCCTTCTTCTAAAACCTTCAGGTGTAGCATCATCTGCATCAGGAAGTGAAGCAACCTCAGATACAGTTTGTTCATCATCTTCTTCTTGCATAGTTTGTTCAAACAACGTCTCAAGGCGACTGGTGATTGTGTCTTCAATGGCTATTGTTGTCTTCACTGCTGCTGTTAACTGTTTAACTAATTTCGCTTTAGCTCGTTCGACGCTGTCTCTATATTCAGATAATAATATGTTAGGATACCTAATCAATATGAGATACTTCGAAACTTGTGAAATGCATGTGAAATGCATGTGAATAATAAAAAAGACACAACGCATTCGGTTCGATGAAAGAGTATGGCAGGATATCGTGAAACGCGAACTCTCAAGTCTTAACAAGGTTTTAGATATGGCATATAGACAAGGTAATGAAGGAAAAATTCAGATACCTTTCAGAATTCATAGCATCCAAATCAGCTCTTAACATGTGGATGAGATTTGCATTCTCACGCTGTTGTCTCTCCTCTCTATTCTCAATATCCCTAATATGCCCTTCCAGAGTACGAACATCCATATCTAAGGCTTGCTTTTGTTCTTGAAGCTAGAGGATAAGAATTAAATATTTCTCAATGCATACACTTTTTATAAGCTGAATGCGTTATATTTACAACAAACTTTCAAATGCATTCAAGCAGTTTAATCGTTTATTAGATAAACTAATCGGTTTAGAGGCAGTAGAGACACATTACTGGGCGAGTTAATGGATTTTTTAGCCAGCACACGACAAACCGCGTGCAAATAATTTAAATTAGTACATTTCATTGTGTACAAAATTATTGACACTTGCTTGTAGTGAAAACCTAACCTACCACAATATATTCATTTTCTTTTTCCTCGAGAGCTTTTTGGACATTATCATTTCTTCCCTGCAATAAAAAGAACTTTGTCTGACGCCAACAATTGTATTGCATGTGCTACTTGATCATAATATGAGAAGATTGGGTTATACCAAGCCCTTGCAGTACAGATTCTTCATGCCAAAATATACTTAACGGACAGTCGTACTGTAATGGTTTAATATTAATGTGACACCGAAACTTTACATCAACATTCAGTCCTCATTTACCTTCAGTTCTGCAATTTCATTTTTCATCTCTTCCAGCTTGTTCTTCAACATTTTTTCTTGCTCTGCTGCTGTGGTAAGATGTTCAGACAATTTCTCTTCTAATTCCTCCCGCATTCGAGTTCTCATTACACGCTCTCCCTCAAGTTCGTTGTTCGCTAGTTCAATATGCTACATGGGGAAAGCAAGTTCTTCAGGTTTAAAGAAAATACCAACAGTTCATTATGCTTTATGGAGACAATCGAGTTCGGCAGTTTAACATGCAAAACAGGTTGGATATCTTGCGACATAACTTTCAATATAACCGTGAGTTAACTCAGTTTTGTTTTAACATTGGTCTATGCGGAAAAATTTCAATGTTGGTTGAGATTACAAAAAAATATTCAACATTTGCACTAGTTTCATCATACCTTATCATGTTCTGCTTTCAGCCGTTCCAACTCATCCGCATGTTGTTGTGACAACATTTCCTGAACACCACGTAACTGTTCTTCATTTGAACTATCAGTATTGCTTTTCATATCTTCTAACTTATCATCAAAATCTTTGCGTATTTTTCCAAGTCTTTCCTCGTACTCTCTACTCGTTTTCTCAATAAACTCAGTCATTTCGTTAATGTTTTTATCTTTAGTTTCGATTTCTAGAACAGCACGTCTTATTTCTGTCTCCGCTTTATCAAGTAGATCCTCCTTAATTAACATTTCTTCGCGTTGATCATTCTTCAATTCAGCTAATTTTTCCGTCAATTTTTTTTGCCAATTTTGTTCAAGCTCTTCTTTTTCAACCTCGTGGTCTTTTTTTAGCTTATTGATTTGGGTTCGATGTTGTTCGACCAGATCTTTCAATGCGTTCAACTGCTTCTCGTGCTTCTGCTGTAAATCATTTTCAAGATTCTTCAAATTTTCCAAATGTTCTTTTTCCAAATTATAGCGAGCCATTTCCTTGGCTTCCCGTAGTTTTGTTTCAAGTTCCTCCTATCAAATATTAAAAATAAAAACGTTAAATTCAAGAAACCGACGAATATAAACAGTTTTTTAATTTATTGAACTTTAATAACTCTCTAACGAGAACGTTACTAACTTATAGAACTTAAAGCTGAGGATATTAATTACCTGATGAGATTTTTCCAGTTCTTCTGTCATTGAAGTGAACTTCTGCATGTGTGTTTCAACTAGTTCTTGTTTCATGGCTTCCAGATTTCGATGGTGCTGTTCATTCGCCTGTTTTAAAGCTTCATCTTTTTCTTTAACCATTTTTCCTTCGTAAGTTTCTTGCATTTCTTGCATGGAATCTTCGTGTTCTTTTTTCAAGTTTTCCTTTAACTCTGTAATTTCGTTTTCGTGTTCTGAAAATCAAAATATACTTATAAAAATGTACTCAAAATATCATATCGCCTTTTCTGGTAAATAAATTATAAAGGACTGTTCCAACGTTGCACTATTTAATAACGAAAAGTGTTATATCCGTTATACTTAAATGCATGGAATTTTTTTCTATTATATGTACCTGTTTTCAATTTGTTTAAAATCTCATCTCTCTCTTTCAACTTCAATGCCTTTATTTCTTCTTCTCTTTGCATAAAGCTTTTACTTAGCTCTTTATGTTCTTCATCTGAAGTTTGTTTCCACATCTCATGCATATTATCCATTTCTTTCATCAGTTTTCCTTTTAGTTCATTGAGAGTATTCTGCTGCTCAACTTCTAACCTGTATGAAATGAAGGCCATAATACTACGTAAAAGCACAGTTAATAGAATATACATGGTTTGGAGACTAAATAAAAGTACAATACAACTCATTAACTATGTTATTGTCCAAGTTTATGCAAAAAATGGTTCCTTTCTCGTCACGTGTCAAGTGTATTTTAGCCAAATTTACCAATGGCATTCGTCTTGCTAAGCTCCTCAATCTTGACTTAAAAAATATGTTAATTATAAGATTGCTATTGGTTTATCTGTCCAAAATACAATAGACACGTGATAAGAAAGGAACAATTTTTTGCATAAATCTACCTTAATATACGTAGTTTATTAGTTGTGGTCTCCAAACCATGTATATTCTATTAACTGTGGTAAAAGTGAAGAACGTTCAGCTCCACGCCTGCTGCCAAGTTTACGCTTTCGTGTGTGGCACAATTTTTATTATATTTATTACCTCGTTTTAAGATCCTGAATTTCTTCTTCATGAAGACGTTTAAGCTCGTTTCTTTCATTTTCCATGATTTCTTTTTGCTCTTGTGTTTCTTTAATAAGTGATCTGAGATGTTCTTCTAACGATTTCTTATCTTTTTCAAGCGATTCTATCATCGCAGCTTGTTCGGTGATCTCTTTCAAATGACCGTCCTGTATTTCTTTGATTTTCTTTGCTTTCTCATAATCTGCTTCTAATTTAACAATCTCAACTTCGCGAGCGGCGTCGAGGGCAAGATCTGCTCGAACCTCAGAGACCTCATCCACCAAATCATCAAAATTTCTTTGCTTCATTTCCTTTAAAGATTTCTCGTGCTGCCGCTTTAAGTTCTCGATTTCCATCTCTTTTTCTTGCATAAGATCTTTGCATACCCGAAGCTCGTTGTTTAAAGGTTCAATTTGTGCTGACAATGCACTATTCAATCTTTTATTAAGCTCTTTCACTGTCTCTTCGTGTTGTTCTCTCAAAGATTGATATTTGATCACAAGATTGTTAATTTCTGAATCAAAATTATTTTGATGTTCAATCTTTACATTGCTAAGCTCTTGTTCAAATTCTTTCGTAAGTCTTGTCCGTAGTTCCTCCAACTCCTTGACATTTTTTGCATTCAAATCGCGGTTTAATTTGCTAATTTCTTCGGAGTTTTCATTCTCTAACCTTGTCCGAGTTGCTTCCAATTCTTTTTGCTGTTCCTGTCTCAATTCTCGCATTCCTTTTTCGTATTTTTCAATGATAGCCGTCTTCCACGTCTCGAAAGCGTCTCTATCTGCATTTGATTGGTTTGACTCTGCTTCTGATATCAAATGGTCTATTTCCTTCTGATGCTGAAGTTTCAGTTCACGGACAATAGTGTCTAAATCTTTCTGAAATTTCTCAGAGAGCTGCTGTCGACTTTCCTCCAATTCTCGGAAAGTATTGTCTTCATTCTCTTCCTGTAGTAGAGCAAGTTTTTGTTGCAGAACATGTATCTCGGAAATGTGCTGTTCGTCTTTATCTGATAATCTGTAAAACATTGAAATCACACATCACAACACTCCCCTTGACTGTTCATCTACTTTACTGCACATGTGACAATAGTGTTGGATTTATAGTGAGAAACCATGCAGGGTTCTAACAGATATCTAGAAAGATGAAATTAATACTGCAGTGCAAAGTTTAGGCCATCTTTGTACCGCACCTGATCCACTTCGCATAGTTTTTATCAGTAGTTAAATCATATATAAAAGCAATCTCCAATGCAGTCCGGCGAATTTGTATCGATTGTAGATCGCACCTTCTAACAGGATTGGTCAGAAAACAATTTTGTATTCTCAGAAACGATGCACTTACTTTTTGTCGTTGTTATTTGATAACTCTCGAACTTCAGTAATGTGTTTTAACTCCATCTCCATTTTCTCTTTTTCAAAATCATTCCGCAGTGTCTTTAACTGCTCGTTATACTCATCTTCATGTGATTTCCTTTTTGTTTCAATTTCCTTCTGCATATCTGTTATTTTCACTTCATGTTCGTGTTCCAGAAATGTGATCTTTTGTTCCATTGTTTGTAAAGAGTTGTTCTTTTCATCTTCTTCTTCCTTTGATTTTGCAAGCATTTCTTCCATCTTTATTGACATTTCTTTTGCCCTTTCTTTCTCAAGTTCCAACTTATCTGACACAACCTGAATCACATTCAAAAGTTATACAACAAGACGATAAAATGACAATCAATTGGTCTTCTTATAACTGGGCTCTTACAGGAAATTTCATTATTTAGGGCAATTTCAGGGCAGTTTCAAGTTGTTCCGAACTAAGGTCTGAGCTCTATTCACAGTAGATTTCTATGTATTATCCGAGTACGCAGTTGTTTTACAGCGCAATCAAACTGACCTGCATGTCTTCTTTAAGACTATCTTCCTCCTTTTTACTCGCAGTTAACATTTGTTTATGAATCTGTTCATGTTCTTCCCGCAACGCATCAATTTCCGCGAAATGTTTTCTCTGCAGTTCTTCGATCGCAGACGCCGTAATTTCACGACCTTGTTTATCTAATTCCTCGCGCAATTCTCGCAAATCTTTCTCATATTTTTCCTCAAGCTCGTCCTGCAAAGTCTCCATTTGATTCTCGTATTCTTCTTCGATATCCTACAAGTAATAATCACTGTCAGATAAATACGATCATAAAGGATTTCTCATTACGTCTGCTAATAATGGCTCTCAGGGTTTGGTAGACAACGTGTTGATCGTAAAAGTTAAAATAAAAAAAGGGCTGAGAAATACAAAGACCCGATGCGGGGATTAAAAGGGTTTTTGAAGGGAGCATTTTCATTTATCAAATTTTTTATTTAATAGCCAAACCGGATTTCTTGTCTCTATCAGAAAAGATCAGGCTAACATCTGGTCAAAATGGTCTCATGGCATGTACAAACGGATCCCAAATTCTTTAGTCAGACAAGTATAATTATAGTTATGCATGTGCTCACTCGGTAAAATGGCGATAATGCCCGTTGTTAGGCAAATGATTATAAAATTACCTCCCTTAATTTAAAGTTACCCCTCTTATTATAAAGTCACCTCTCTTATTATAAAATTACCTCTCTTATTTTTTCAATATTTGCTTCATGCTCCTTATTCAATTCATTCCTCAATGCGGTAAGTTGTTTCTCCAAATCTTGTTCATATGTGCCTCGTAGATCTTCACTAACTGCCTCGTGCTGTTTTTCAAGTATCTCTCTCCGTTCGACCTCTTCCTTGTTCCGTGATTCTAGTTTGGAGACTTCCTCTTCATTCATCTTTCTTATTTTCCCAACTTCCATCTCTGCGCCCTTCTTTAATTCCTCAAATTTAGCTTCATACTCTTTTTCCACTTCTAACCTGGCAACTTCGACTTTTAGTACGGTATCAGTCACCGCTTCAGCCAAGCAGTCTTCCATTTCTTGTTGATGAGTTTGTTTTAAACGAGCTACAATTGCGTTAACGATATCCTGATGACGTATGTTTAACTCTATATAATATACAAAGACGATACAAATGTTAAAGATTACACTAACATGCTCACATTTACTTTGATGAGTTTTAACAAATGATGAATGTTCTTGCAACCTAAGATGCTACGGAACAAACAGCCTCCAGACGACATAAGCTGGGAATACAGTTGCCTCTTTATTGCTCTCGCCGTTCATCATATTTCAAAAAAAAAATTTCCATGTTTTTTTTTGCTTCAACAAAACTCCAATATTTCCCTGATAATAAACGGTGAGTTCAATCGATCATTTTTCTCGACTCGCCTCAAAAAGATCAAAGTATGGTCTCTCGAAAAATGTTGTGATGGATATTTACCCAGGATTATCTAAAGTCTAAACAGACCCTAGTTGTGTACCTTTCCGTAAGTTCTCCATATCATCATCGTGATTATCCATGAGATGTTGAACCTCAGTTGCCCGATCTCGTTCCAAAACACTCTTCATTGTCGTAACTTGTCTTTGTCGTTGTTCTTCCAAGATTTGTTTTAAATTCTTGATTCTTTCTTCATACTCTGCTTTCACACCGGCTACCTACAATATTCGTTTAATAAAAAAAAAGTTTAGAGAAGAGTATGTTGTAACTCCGCTACAACATAAAATAAACCAATGTTCTTAACAATAAGTTAAGAGTAGGAAGAACCTGGTAATGAAAATCAATCGTCATATCGAAGGTCGATCGCAATATAAAGCTACTATTACAAAATAAACTAAATTCTCTCACGTAAAGCAAACCCCAAGACGTTTGCATACATGTACTACAGGAGAAAAGTTCACTGAGAAAACCAACCAAACCCAAACGTCTCTCAAATTAGTGTCATACAAGCCAGCTGGCACGCTTAATGAGTCTATGTACGCATGAAGAAATGTCGACAGTTCAGGTTACATCATTTTCCAAGGGCCAACTTTTAACAATGCCATGTTAGTATTCCAGACAAATGAGTTTATAGTAATAATTAAACTTATTTGAATTAGAGCGCCAACATGGCGGCTGTGACGTCAAGACCAAATTCTCTATATAAAGTAACCGTTTCATTTGTATATAGTCATTATGATCATATTTGCTTGTTCAATGTTCAACAACTGGACAAAAATAGAAATAGCCAACAAAATTCCTATAAGGATATAGCAAGCTTTCATGAGAGAGACGCCTCATTCATGCAATGACTACATACAATAACCTATAGACAAGATAAGGTTTCAGTATATCCAAGAACGAAAGGAACAATCTTTATCTTCATGTTTAATAATTCGTTATGCAAATCTCTCCAAACAGCAGTTGGGATTATGACAGCAATCAATATATATGCTTGTTTTCAGCTGCCAAACGCGAGACATGCACCGACTGACATGCGTTGAAATAAATTAAGCTTTTCTAAAGTGAAAAATATTAACAGGATATGACATGCACTTTATGTATAGCGAATCTAATCGTCTTTTAAAGTAATATTCTGGCCAGCAAACCTGAAACAGACATCACGGGTATATTTTTAAATAATAATCAATTCATAAATTCATTAGTTATTTCATGACAACTCATGCATGCATATATCGTTTTCCCTTCTCGGCGTTTGAAACTTGGTGAACAACATGCACTTATATTAATAGTCTTCTGTACTTAACCATAAGAACTAAATCTGAGCTTTTCATGTGCAAAACACTCGTGATATCAAACACTTGCTCTGGTCTTAATCCGTATTATCCTACAGCAGTGCTACTTATAGTTACGATGACATGTAGATATCTCGCTTGGTTTAGGAACTAAACTAGAAATGAAAGTACAGTTTGTAGTGACAGTTGTTATACCCGCAAACTATTAAATTCCTGTTCCCTCTGTATCTTACGCGGCAAATAGCATTTCCTCTAATCAATGTAAAAAATATTCTAAAGTAGATAGTATAGAGCTTATTCACAAGGCATTATTATGAATGAAATTCTATCACTACACTAAATCGCAATGTATTGTGTAGCTATTACACAGAATAATGATTCAAAGTGACATACATACTTCTCGAATTAGTTGCTTTTCCGTTTCAGTTTGTTTACGTGAGTATAGGTTAAGATAGTGGTTTAATCCTTGATATTCTAGTTTGTAGCCATGCTAGAAAGCTTGGGATATTCAATTACAATGTTTTGGTGATTAATATATGTATGAGCAGAGCATCAGATATTTAGCATGCTGTTTTGAATAATTCAAAAGAAAAAGCGGGAAACAAAACGACCCTAATTTCCACATGAATATGACGGCGCATGGATCCTAAATATATTGTGTAGATCATTTCTGCCTAGATTTCTAAGAATATTTTAACTTTTCTTGGGATGAGGTGATTTGAGAAGACACGCGCTGTCACTTCTGATATTTCAATATATGGTTACGTTTATTGGCCTTTCATTTCATTGCATTTTGAGTTCAAACTGTGGCTCAGTCGATTTCATGGGGTGACAACACACAGTCACCTGGATGTGAGATAATCCACAACCCTGTTTGCGTATGTCCAGGAAATTAATTTCGTTTCGATCGTCGTAGACCAATGCGAAGCAATATCTGGTGGAATATTCTTTTAAAGAGTAAACTGAAGTTACTGAACATTGTAATTCAAACAATGGCACAAACCAGACTGTAGATTACTTTAGCCTTTTGGTGGTTATATCTAATTCTTGAATCATTGGTATATTTTGGTCCCCCCTTATTTGGAGAAATCATACGGCTAGTTCAAGGTACCTTCTTGCCTGATATAGCTGAATTTCACTGAAATTCTTCCATAATCTAGCTATGACGTCAAAACGGCCTTGAAAAGTTAATGGTATTGAGGTGATTGAAATAAAAGGACATCGAATCTCTAGTGTAATGTATAGGTCTCTGAAGCTAGACAGAAGAGTAAATGTGGTCCTGACCTGAAAACACTCCCGTTCAGATACTGATTCTAGAAGCCACATTGCCAGTTCATACCACATGCCAATCTGAAGCGGGAAGTGATACATAAAGAAAATTAATTTACTGAATTTTATCAAAAGTTATGCACTGACATTGTGAATAGCAAAATGGCCGTTGTGACGTCATGCATCTTAAGAACGCCTGAATACTACACCTATTCGCTATCCTGGTGTAAATATCTGTAAACCTGGCTAAAGAGTAAAGATGCGGTGAATTCAACTGGATCTAAAGCGCAAATCCGCATATTCAAAGAAAGAAAAGCATAATGCAGAATTACTCGTTGGGTCTTGGCCATTGGGTCAAATTTTAATACACAAGTGTGTTCAGCTAGAATATACAGGACGCATAGAGATACCATCTTTTTAGAGATACCATGGAACCGCACGGAACCACTATTAGGTAATCATTAACAAAACACGTTCAGTCTGAGTGTATGAGAAAGTCTGGATGTTAGTAAAAGAAAAATACACACAATATAAACATATGATAAACATATGATATTTTATTTAATGTAATGAATAAAAAAATACATTTATAATACAACGGCTGGGTAAATGGGAAAGATGTTAACGAAAAAAAATTCTATAGTACGCGGTTATTGCGGTAGATAATTGATTAATGATTCTTACCAATATAACCCATGCAAGGAATTACAAAATATTAGTAAAGGATTAGTATAATGAGATATAAATTATCTATATCATAAAGTAATACATTAATGAAAAATAGTTAATACCTTTCTCATTCACCCAGACTGTGTATAATGTTAATAATTATACATTTTTCTGCCGTACGACGGACCCTTCTACATTTCAGGACGTTTAGATTTCTCATAACCTTACGCTTTTATGTATAGCCTATTACCTATGTGGATATTTCGTATTATAAGAGGGGCAAGCATGATTGCCCAAACCTATTCGTAATATTTTAAACCTAATGAATTTTCACCTTCGTTCAACCGTACGCGTCGAAAAGTAAGTAGGAGGGAGGTGGGCTGGGGAAGAACGTAAAGAGATCAGAACCCTCTGTATGTAACTATGGATATCTCGTAGGATTAAGGATCACACAGTTAAAATTATTCAATTTCTACTGTTTATATATGTTCAAAATTATTTTCTTTACCTACGAATTAAGATGAATTAAGGGTTTATAATGAAAATTATCATGCACAAAAATTTACAGAAATATCTTGGTAAATATTTTAGGATTTATTGTTAACTGTTTATATGTTTAATGCCGGTAAAAAATTTCACATAATAATACTTGAAATTTTAACGTCCACTCTATATGAATTTTCTATCTTAATAGGAATATACATTTATATTTTATTATCAATCTTTCTGCAATTAATATGATTAAGTTATATATTTATCTTTATATTATTATATGAATTGATGAATATTATTTGTTTTAACCAGTAGTTGGTTGACTAAAGGCGAGTCCTTTAAATTTAATTTTCCCGGGGTTCCGGTTGCGAAAACACCTTTTCTTTTTCACCTGTTTTCAAAACCGTCAAAAATATCTCAATTTGGAATCACAGTCTCCTGCAATTTTTATATGAATTAAATTAAAACAACACCTGTTGTTCATGTTGTCGGGTCAAACTTGCCATATCTTGTTTGTGATAAGTTTGATAATCTTCTTCCACATCAATCAAACGTTGCCTGAAACCATCCTCGAGCTCTGTTCTTAAATGTTCGAGATTTTGTTGATAGGTATCCTCTAGTTCTGTCCGAGTGGATAACAGTGTTGCGGTGAAGTTTTTCTCGAGAAGTTCACGTTGTTCTCTCTCCCGTTCTTCTTTTGATTTCAGTTCTCCCTGCCATGTTTCCATTTCATATTCCTTTTCCTGTAATTCTTGACGAAGAGCTTCCTTCTCTCGGTCCAGCAATTGCTCTTTCTCAAGCAGACTGTCTTCAATAGCGCTCAGTTCATGCTGAAACACAACATGAAGGCGCTCAGGTCGAAACATGGAGACGCCTTTCTACATGCATCTTAGGCAGTCACTGGGCTGATTTGATGAACCCAACCTACATGCAGTAGCTTAGAGTGGACTGAAAGACTGAATACGTCGCCAGAACATAAAGTCAAGGATGATACACATAGAAGGCCTAATGTAGGTCAAACTAACACTAGGAAAAATGCATTTTAAACAATAGATGTATTCAGGGCACGAGAACTACGACGTTTGACCGAGGCCTAAATTATATCCGTAATTATACATGGCCTAATAGTTTCATACCTGTAATCTATTCTTCTGTTCAGTTAGTTCTTGTTCCAACACGTCTTTCTCTCGTATAATTTCATTCAGTCTAGCTTGTCGTATCAATTGTTCTTGCAGTGCAGCTCTCTCATCATCCAATTGCCGTTCAAGAACCCCCTTTTGTCTCAATTTATCTGCTAGCTCTTCTTTCTCAGACCTCAAGTTCTCTTCAAGGGCGTGTTTTTCTTCAAGAATGTCAACAAACGAGCTGCGTTCTTTCTGTTCTTCGTCCAATTGGTTTAACAAAGAGTCCCGTTGTTTCTCAAGCACCAGAAGTTGCTGCGCGAAGACTTGTTGGATGTCAGATGAAACCAGTTCAGACATTGACAGTTGGTCCTGTAAATTCTGGTGATAAAAATATTCCAATTACAAATAATACAGACGGGATATACAGGTCCACAGTAAAGATTTCAATTAGAAAAATTTAGGGGAAAAGCACATTCGAAAAACATTCTTTATAAAATTCCTATAATACATTGAATACATTTAGGCTGCGTTTACACGACCAAATTTTGTTTGACAAACGTCTCCTTCTACTGTATGTAAAGAAGTAGATGAGTTATGAATATATTTGATTATTCGCTTTTCATGAGCAACCATATTGTGTTGTGCCTTAATACACTCAATCATATTCGTCAGGATCAGAAATTTGTCAAAGAAAATTTGGTCGTGTAAACGCAGCCTTATTGGAAGAGTCGCTAAGTTCTAGGTTATTGGGCTTTTAGTCAAAAAATCAAATCAAAAATTTTAAAAAATCTCAATTTTCAGATTACTTTATTCCCATCCATAACGAAAAACACGTCCATACTCCACCTTTATTGTTTCATCTTGGTCGTTGATCTTTTCCTTCAAAGAATCTCTTTCATTTGTCAAGGAATCGTTGTATTCTTTAACGATTTTTAGAAGTTTATTCTTCTCCTCGATCAGTTGTACTTCATTCTTCTCTTTTTCAGCGAGTTTTTCTTGAAGGAACGCAATTCTCTCAAGTGACTCAAACTCGTTTAAGGATGGTTGTTGCTCTGTACTCACTTTTGTTGGTTCGCTAGATATGTTCTCCTCTGGAACCGACCAATCCCAACCATCGTCTAGATAAAAAGTAAAATATGGAAAGTTTTAAATTACAGTTTTGTTCTCGACAATGTGTATAATTAACCTTGAGTCGTACATGTACAAGGGAGGTTGGCATAGCTAGTAATTGTCCAAAAAGTCGAGGTTTTTTAGAAAAGGCAATACCCTAACTCGACACGAATTCACTGGATAAAGTTTCCAAAATCCGTAATATAGAAATTATGATAACTGCTGATCCATACCTGTCTCTCCTTGAACATCTATCCAGTTATCAGATGAGGTCAGTTTTTCTTCAATAACAGGCTGCTGAAAACTGTTTGAGTTCCAATCAAAATTTTCCATTTCCGTTTCCCTTTTTATCAACTCTTCCCTTTCTGAGACCAAATTTTGCAATCGTTTCTGTAGGTCGTTATTGGAATTCTTCGTCCTCTCAAGCTCGCCTTTCACACCTTCATGATCACTTTGCATCTTTTGTATTAGCTCTTGGTACTCATTTTCTTTTTCTGCTAGTGTCTTTTTAAATTCATGTTCTGACGTGTTCATTGATTCCTTGAGATTAACCAACTTGCCATCGCAATCTGCTCTGACAGTCTCTATAAATTGCCGGGTTTGTTCCAGCTGTTCGTCCATCTGTCTAATCTCATTCTCGTGTTCCTCTCGTTTTCCGAGTAATTCTGACTGTGTCTCGTTAAGTTTTTCTTGCATTTCTTTATTTTCTGCGATAATGGTTGCTTGGCTGTCTTCCAACTGTCGAACTCTCTCCTGAAGTTGTTTATTCTCGTTTTCATATTCAATCGATTTCTCTAAAAATTCTAGTTCAGCCTTTTCAACAATCTGTTGTTGCTCTGTTACCGAACTATTTTCCTTTTCTTGTAATTCTTGCAGCTTGTCACACAGTTCTTTCAATTTCTTCTCGTTTACATCAGCTGCTTCTCGCAATTCTTCATCGGATTTTTGCAGTAATTCCTCTACCTCTCGCTGCTTAGCAGCGGTTTCCGCATTATTTTTTCCCATCTCGTGAAGTTTGTTCTCTAGCTCTTGAACCTTAGTTTCATGTTCTTTTCTAATTTCATTTATCAAAATCTCGCTTTCCTGTTCCATATTTTGTTGTTTTTCCTGAAGTGCCTCGTCCTGGCTTTGTTTCAGCTTCTGAACAGTATCCTCAAGCTCGGTTACTTTTTCCTGACTTTCTATTAACAACTCCATAGTCTGATCTTTCTCTGCCTGAATATTTTCTCGTTTTCCTCCCTCCGTTATTAACTCATCTCGTAGAAGCTGTAACTCACTCTCGTGATTCTGTTTCGCAAGTTGCAACTTTTCAGTCAACATTAAGACCTTCTGTTCATTCTCACCCTCAGTCTGCTGAAGTAAACTCTCCAATTGGGTCTTCTCACTCAACAATCGTTCTTCACTTTCTTGTAACCTTGTCAAGTCACCCTCAAGACTCTCAATCTTCAGGTTTAACTCCTTCACCTCTTTTCCATGATCACTTTGGATAGCAATATATTTTCCTAGCTCATTCTTGATTTCAACTTGTTCAGCTAAAAGATCTTCCTTCTCTAATGCCAAAGACTCCGATAATTTCTTCATCTTATCATGCTCTTCTTCTTGATGTTGCATTTTCTCTTTCAAACTCGTTAAATAATCTTGGTTTTGGACACCATCTGCTAGTTGCTGCTGCGCCACTACTAATTCCTCCTTTAAATCACTGTTTAATTCTCTCATAGAACTGAATGCTTTCTCGTAGTCGTTTTTCATTTGCTCTATTTCATTCTGTAACCTAGTTTTCTCTTCAAGCGAAGATCTTAAGTGGTCAAGCTCTTTCTTAAGGCTACTCATCTCTTCTGCGTGGCTATTTGTTAACTTGTTCGTCTCGTTTTGGTGTTCGAGTTGTGCCTCCAGAAGTGTGGCTTTTGTAACTTCTTGTTGTTTTTCTACCACGGTCAATATCTCTTCGTTATACTTTTGTTTGTCATCATCAACTTTCTCCTGTAATTTGCGAATTTTCTCCAATGCTTCTAACTGCGTGGTCTTAGCATTTGAAAGTAATTCATCACGCTGCTCAACTTCATTTTTTAATTCTCGTACTTGCTTAGCACTCTCTTCCAACTTCACTTGCGACTGTCTGAGTTGTTCTTGGTGTTCTTCAGAAACTTCAATCATTTTTTGGCCAGAATCTGAAACTCCTTCTTTCATGTACTCTAACTGAAGTTTTAAACTTTCCATTTCCTCTTCATGTCGTTGTTTTGATTCATTTAAACGAAGCCTGAACTCCTCTACGGTTTCATCTTTTTGTTCTACTTCATTTTGAAGATCAGCAGCTTGCTTCTGATATTTTTCAACCTCATCAGAAAGACTCTGAATTTTTGCTAAGCTCTCAGCAACAGCAGATTTTTCCATGTCTAATTCTTTAGAAAATAACATTCTCGATTCTTCCAGTACGGATTCTTTGTCATTAAGCTCGTTTTGTAACCTTTCCTTTTCCTCAACAAATTTCTTTTGTATTTCCTCCAATATTTCTTCGGTACTTCCAAGTTTCTGCCTGGTATTCTCTAAGGCTAAGTCTTTCTCTAACATTTCTTTCTGAAGATTTTGAATCATGTCGTTTGATACATGCAGCTCTGAGAACGAGGTTTCCATCTCGTCGCTCTGCTTTTCCAATTTGGCGTTACTCTGGGAAATAGAAGTCAATAATAGACTATTGCACTCCATCAATAAATTAATAAAACGACAAAAATGAGATTTAGTGTCTAATTCAACATACAACACAGTTGCTGCTTGGTTGCCCGAAAACAGCTTGAAGTGTCTGCCTAAATATTGCTATACAGTTTACATATTTATATATACCGGGAGATACATTTGAAAAAATTCTTAAACTTTGCCTTTGCCGGGCTTTGGAACCGATGATTTAATATTTCCAGAAACGATTTGTTTCACAGACTGTAATCAAAGTCAAATCAGTAGAATAGAACCTGAAAAGGCCGCACATTTCGTTCGTACGACGTACAGTACAGTACAGTACAGTACAGTACAGTACAGTACAGTACACGTACAGTACATAATAAACTAACATTATCCACAAACGAGTACGACAAATTAAGACCACAGCACGAGTGATATTATTATTCAACCACAAAACTCATATACGAACCTCTTGAAGTTGGGAGCGTAAATCCTTCATTTGATTTAACAAATCTTGAGTCTGGCTTGTCATTTCATTCTTCAATAATTCTCTTTCCTCAGCTAGCTCATTAAGATTTTTTTCTAAGTGTGATATACTTTGATTTCGATTGTCCAGGGCATTGCGTAATTCAAGCATTTGTTCCGCAACTGTCTTTGAGTTAATGCTCATATCTTCATTGATCTGTGATAGAGATTCTAGCTGCTGCTCCAAAGTTGCAATCTTGTTGTCCTTCTCGTTATGCATCGCATTTGAGTTGTCCAGTGTTTCTTGCATAGAGATTAAACGCTCTGTTTGCTCTTGAATGTGGGTTTTCAGTAAAACAACCTACAAAACAATAACGTAAAAAGGCATTACCCCGTAAATAAAATGTGTTAAGACAAAGACCAAGAATGAAGTCACTGTATGTACCTCTTCCTCTCCTTGTTTCTGTTTATTACTGAACTGTATGACTTGATTATTCATATCCTCCAAAGCACTGGTCTTTTCCTCAAGTTGGATGGTCAGTTCTGATAATTTGTTTGCATAATTCGCAGCTGCATCATGGCTGGTGACACTTTCATTGTCTTTCTCATCGAGTACAAGTTGTAATCTTGAAATCTCCTGGGAAGCTACATTGAGCTAAAAAATCATAACACTGATTGATGAGAAATATAGAATGGCATGTATTACTGTAGCAGTGAAATGAAATATTTATATAGACACAAATGTCATGAGCAATGACTTTCTTTTAAGATTTGAAAAGGAAATTTGACCAAATTGTAAGAAAAGTAGATGGAACTATATTGCTAACAGGTGCTGTATACCTGGTGCTCACGATGTGCCAACTGTTCATTGAACTTTGTGACATTTTGTGAAAGATATTCCTTCCATGAATTGGCCACTTGCTGCAATTCTTGATCTTTTAACTGTAATGTTTTTTGATATTCAAATACTTGGGCTTTACTCTGATTCAAGCCTTCTTCTAATGACTTTATAACAGCTCTTTGGTTTTCATTCTCCACACCAAGTTGTTGTACCGAGTTTTCCTTTATTTTTAAATTTTCCATTATTGCACTGACATCATCTTTCTGGGTTTCACTAAGCTGATACTTAAGATTCTCTACTTGAACAGATAATTCTTCATTTTGCTTGTTAAGTTCATCTAAGGTGACTTGCTTTGTGACCAACTTTCCCTTAAGTTCTTCAACTTGAGAGGATTCAGACTGGTCTAAGTCCAGAGATGCTTCTATTCTCTTTCTTAAATCAACATTTTCCCTTTGCAGTTCATCAATTGAGGATTGTTCCACACTAACAGTTTCTTCTAACTCCTGAATCCTCTCATTCAAATCAACAACTGTTTTGGCATGCCCCTCATCAAAGCTTGATTGTACTATGTTGTCTAACTTAGATTTCAACTCAGTGTTTTCTTTACTGATTTCTTTTAATGCAGTTTTCTTTGCAACCAGTTCTTCTTCTAGTTCAACAGTTCGATTTTTCAATTCATTTCGCTCAAGGTTGGCAATCACAAGATCATCTACACCTCCATCCTATATATATATATATATGTACACAAGTTGCAACAAATTAAAACTTTGCATACAAAGACAACTCTTTGGCATGGTTTCAGGGGCGCCAGAATATCGATAATAACGGGGGCAGATATTCATATATTCGTGTTTGCAGATCGTAAAAACAATCCATTTCAAAAGAAGTTAATAATGCAGAACACAAATATATGAATATCTGCCCCCGTTATTATCCATATTCCGGCGCCCTGCATGGTTTGATATTGATTAGTGTCTTTGATATTGATTAGAATCTTTACCTCAGATGTAAAAGATTCATCTCCACTGGTGTAACTTTCACTAGCATAACTACCACCTGTACTTTCACCTCCAGTGTGTGTTGGTAACTGAGTTTCCTAGAAAAATTTATTACAAGGTTGACTCCATATTTTCTTTTTAGTATTTTAATTGTCTAACATAAGATAATAGGGAGGCACATACAAATGCTACCAAAATATCCAAATGTTCACACAACATACATATTTATATGTACCTTCCCATAGTGTAGCTACAGCTATTAGATTAGATAAGAAATATGCTGTGCACAAATATTAAAATACAAGAAGCAACACAAAGTAAAAACCACCTTCTAAGCACATGCATACGTATAAATTCTACTTCAATTTTCGTACCGTGGTTTGTTGTGCATGTGCAATTTGTTCCTCCACTTCTGATGCAATCGAGGAAATATCTTTATCAGTATCAGCAGAAGCTATGCTGACATCTTGTTCACTATTTGCAGGCGAATTCCCGCCAATTTTACCACTACCTTCTTCAACCTCCTCGCTCTTGCTCTTGGATGATCTACCTGAAGTTTTTTTCTTTTTTTTTCCTCCACGATTTTTTTGCTGAAACTGCATCAGCTAACAGCAATGTAAAAACGATGTATTAAAATACAATTTTAGGTCTTGAAACGATATAGCAAATGGTAACACGTTATGTAAATCTCAAACAGTTGGAGTATTTATTATCATATTTTTACCTTCTCCCGTCCAGCTTTTAGTTTTCTTTGCCTCTCAGATTCTTCATCTTCCATTATTGATTATGTAATAACAATAAATGCGAAGAAGCCGAAGATTATTGTTGCTTAACTCGACTCAAATGAACATCAAATCACCCAAATATTCACCAAACGCTCTCCGGATCTTGTATGCAGACTGCAGTTGTTGTTAGTCACGTGATTTTAAGCAGAAGTGTCGTGTCACTGGTACACACCTAAAAATCTCACATCTTGTTGACAACTTGTTGGCTCAACAAGCTTGTAGCAAGCTTGTTGACAAGTTGTAACAAGCTTGTTGAGACAACAGGTTGTAGCAAGCTTGTTGACATCAAGCTTGCTACAACTTGTTGGCTTGCAGACTTGTAGCAAGTTGTTGGAACAACTTGTACCAAGCTTGTCGACAACAAGCTGTACCAAGCTTGTTGGAGCAACTTGTTGACAAGTTGTTATAGTCATCAAGTTGTAACAAGCCTGTCACAACAAGCTTGTACCAAGGCTGCGCTTGACAATGCTGTAACAAGACAGTTCCAACAAGTTGTAGCGACATTGTTAACGGCAAAAGTTTTCCGATAACAACAAAATCAATTTGAACTGGGCCAAATATGATTTTATTGATCATCGCCATTCATCAAATGGCAAAAGCAAGATCAACGAGCTTTTAAACACTTTAACACTCTGCAACTGCAACGAAGTTCATAACTTCTTTTTATAATAAGATTTGAAAATATCCGAATTCCTTGAAAACATTACAGATGAACATTTCCTTGTTTCAAGGATATCTACAACCGTTGAACCGTTGAGGAAGTGACGATTTGAACGGAGTAATCTCATTGGTTCAGACTCTGTTTAAACTATGTATAAGTGATCTTATTGGTTGAAATATACGTCAGTGTATTGCAAATTTCCCTGCTCTTTTCAAGAGTTCACTGATTCACCTGGTCATTGAGCTATCTTTGTGCCAAAACCTTTGTTTTTTTAAGCCTTTAAAGTTTAATAAACGTTGAAATATCAGTTAAAACGGATGGGCAACTTAAAAAGTTTAAAGAATACTACAGTTCGACGTTTTAATAAAGGTATGTGCGTTTAATTCATCCAAATATTTGATATGGCGTACACAACGCCGGCAACACAATTTATTATAGTACACTAGATAGCATTTTAAAACTATATAGTTTTTAAAATATTTGTTGAATTTATTGCTTTTTATAAACATTGAACTGTTAGTTTCTGTGGATATTTATCAAAATCGAAACTTCGCCGGTTTTTTGTATTCAATAATTCAAATATTTTTAATGACGATAAGGTGTACGGTAAAGTGCAAAATTTCCTTTTTAATATCTGTGCGTATGTTTTAGCATGCTCTGATTAGAAATAATATTATTATTACGTATTATGGTAATAAAGTATTTGTACATTACTTATTTGACATTAGACTTGGATGGCATTCATGGCAAGCAAGACCCTCGCCACAGCAGACAGGATGGAGTTTCCTCAACGTATTTGCAAACCATTTGCTGTTGATTCTTGGGATGACGAAGTCAATTCAACAAGTGACTGAAATACTGGTATTATACAAGAATACTCATGCACCGCCACCAGTTAATTTTTACCATATGAATGCAAAGAAACTTTTCTTACGAACTGATTTTAGGCTATATACTCATGCAGGGAAATACATATGCTCTTGTACTGAGCCTTTAGTAATCTTGGTACTTCAAGTGTGAAGTTTGTATTTAATTGCTAACCTTTGAATTTGTTTTTAAAATAATATGATTTTTACATCAAACTTTGTGTTGTTTGTTCTTTGTTTCACAATCTCCGGGAAAACACGCGTGTTTTCAAGCGAGATTTAATGCGCGGCCATGTTTGCAGCAAGCTTGTCGCGACAAGCTTGTAACGGCCTTGTTATAACAAGCTTGGAACAGCTCAAGTTCAACAAGCTTGTAGCAAGTTGTTGTCAGACTTGTAGCAAGCTTGTTGGCAACAACCTTGCTACAGCATTGTCACAACAAACTTGCTACAAGTCTGTCAACAACTTGCTACAAGTCCGTCACAACAAGCTTGGGACAAGCGGTGCGAACACAACCTGATATCGGCTTGTTGGAACAAGCTTGCTACAAGTCTGTTGCAGACTTGTTACAACTTGTGCGTTTTTACGTGTGTACGTGGATATACCCAACCCTGGTATCGGCTGGTCACGTGTCTCCCAGAATCTGGGAGGTAACAAAAATAATAACTAAGGGTAGGGTAGCTGAGTATTATGTTTTATGCGCGATGAGTTTTGCTGCGAAAATGCCGAGGAGTGAGAAATCATATTTAGCCTGTACGATATGAAAAGCTATGAGCGATCAAATATTACGGAAATAAATACCGCAAGAAGTGTTGACAGTCTATTTATCTCAAACCATATCAAGTAACATATCAAATTACAATCGAGGAACATGTGCTTCAGTCTCAAAGCTCATTTTACTGTCCGGAATGGCTTCGAAGGAAACACCTGTAAAAGCGTATCAAGCTTTTAATCCTTCCACAAATTCTTCTTCTTGTCGACTATGCAGAACTGTTGGCGATCCCAATCACCGCAAGAACTTATTCAAGCCTGCGAATCGAGCTTTGCTGAGAATTGCCGAGAAAATTTGCGGTCATTCCATTGTTTACGACGCGAATTTACCGCATCTTTTATGTCGACCATGCGAACGCAGGCTTAAAAATACTATAGCCTTTCAGCAGATAATTGTGGAGACCGAGCAGTCATTTCGCCAGTCCATCAGACCCGTTTCAAACGCTGTACCGATGTTTCTCCGTCTATTTCCCAACCGCCAAGATCACGCCAAGCAACATCAACTGCGGCGCCTTTAGCGAGGCATTCAGCAAGAACTTCGTTGTCGTTTGATTCTTGTCACGATCAAGAGTCCAGTGTGAATTATGATATAGAAGTGAGTACGCAATACTCTTTTTTTTTCGGACAGTTGTAAATGTAAATGGCAAGTTTTGAATATAACTATGCGAATTCCCGCAAACAATGCAAAATTTTGAAGAAACATTATTATGCAAAAATATGTAAATTCACTTTGTGTAAACAAATATACATCAAGGGCCGGTTGTTCGAAAGGGGTTTAGCTTAAGCGATAGATAAGTTCAAAACGGAAAACAAAATTACCTATTTATTGAACAACTGAGCTGAAATATTTCGATATAAGTTGTTTAATTTTCCATGGAGGAACATATTCAATACATAAGATGTAGTTTCAGTCACAAGATGTATGAGAGTATTTTTACCTTTGGCTTATCTACCTAAACTTTGGGTTATCTACCGTTTAAGCTAAACACCTTTCGCACAACAGGCATCTGCTATCAATTTGCCATCATACTTCAGATTCCTTCCCTTCATATTAAAATAAATATCCCATACAGCGACCAAAAACAAATGATGATTGAAAATGTGTAAATGAAATCTTCATGTTTCAGTATACTACAGTTTCATATACCGCCTCAAATCTGTTGTAGAATGTAAATCCTTTGCAAGCTGGTTACAATGAGCAACTTAAATTGCCAACAATGAATTGGTAAATATTGCTAGAAGAGATGAACCATCTGTGCTAAGAGATCGGTCCTATGCAGGTTTGTCCCAGGAAACGTGGATGGTTGAAGTTATAAAAGAACTTTCCACTAGATGCCCCACAGTTGCAGATATCTTATCAAGCTTGCTCATTGTTCGATGGAGAACCTTGGCAAGAAGTTATCTCCCATTTGCCTGATTTATAGCATCATCATGTTTATGAGATGTCATGAGCTGAGCAGAATTCAGAGAATTAACACTGTCATTCTGACTGATGGAAAGGCATCAACAAATGTAGGTTCATATAGCATGCTTTTTGAAATATTATATACTGTTGCAGCCAAAAGTGAATAGTCTCCAAAAGGTTTAAGGAGAAAACTGTATTGTGATAGACAATAAGTATAAAGTACAGTGGTAATAGCTCCTCAATATGTTAGTGCCAAATTATTTCACATGCTTTACCACATTACTTGTGGAAGGGCTGATCCAGATCCACCTAAATATGACTTACGTGGAATTTAACATGTTTTACTGGTTTACTTGTTTGTTCCTTGTATCTCATTTGCGGCAAAAGTACAAAGCTTCCTGTGCATTTTTCTGTAAATTGTTCAGTGTTACATAAATTAGAGGGTACAGAAAAATACATAGTCTCTATCTTCTAAGTATCAAAACAAAGAAGGGGTAATAATATTTTAAATGATTGAACTCATCATATAAAATGAACTCTTCACTCTATCATTGTGTTCAATATAAAAAAAACAATAGTGGAACGCTTAACACTTTACAGCAACATCACTAAAGTGGAAAGGGTTTTGTATTCTTACTGTGTATTTCTGTAAATATGCACTGTAATCATACTAAACTATACACTAACTACTAAAACCAACACAAGTTATCATTATGACTGTCATACTAAATCTATTTAATTTATTATTTATAGTTGCTTGAGCGACTAAACAAGTATGGCATATGTCTCAGCCCTTCTAAAAAGTATGTTGTCCTTGATGACATTGGCAAACACTTTTTGGATCATGCAGTGGAGTTGGTGAAGGCTGGGAAGAAGTTTGTCTTCGTTGTCGACAACATAGATTGGGAGGAGAAGGTGCATGATATGCGAGAAATTCATCAAAATAAGAGTGTCCATGCTGTTGCTACCAGCATGGTATTCACCCGAGTTTCAAGTGACCACCTACCTGATGATGGCCCTCAGAAAGATATAAAAACTTGCAACTTCCGAGAAATAGTTGACATGAAGGATGAAGAGCTAAAGGAGATTCACTATCGTTACAAGATATTGGTAGCAAGAGTCTTAATCAAGATGTTTCCAGAATTCAGCAGAATTAAATCATACATATCTCAGGAGCTTCTACTCACTCATGAACATTCTGATACAGCATCTTGTAAGTCAGAAATTATTACTATGCCTGTACTAATGAAAGATGAGAAAAGTATAGCGATTGTGTTGATGTTCTTGACCAGCTGGAAAGTGGACACACGAGATATACAAGGCAAGTGGCAAGTGTCAAGATCATGCAGACCATGCATCTGCTTCCCATCCCTTGATAGAAGTTCCAACACGACCAGATCAACCAAGATCCCACATTCCACCTTCTACTCAAAATTCTGATCCACTTCAAGGAGTAAAAGTTGCTTGCTTTGGCGATGAGTTAACAAGAGTAAGGTTTGCTGGAGCACGTGACCTTCGTTCTGGTTGTCACACAGCGAAGCAGCGACTTGATCATTTATATCCATATCGAATTGTTGGATGGCATACAAAGAGGAGTTTTTTAAAGGTGAGCCTCAATTTTTCCTTTTAGTATAGCCAGAATGTTGGTTAAAGTTGTTTTGTAAATCTGTATATAATAAATCTGTTATGACGATGGTATGCCATGAATTGTCTTTAGAAGCACCAGGGCCTATCAGAGAAGTGTTGGGACCCAGGTAATAAACTGTACCCTGGGCCCCCAGCCTCAGTCTTCCCTCTGAAAAGTCCTGCAAATGACAAAATTACTTAGACTATCCAACCTGCCTATCAGTCCTACAGACTACAGTGTTAGTAACCTCCATCTCAGGGCACTTTTCATATACCATGGGTACAAGGTTTCAGTGTTTGCAAGGTAATTATAACTTGTAATTTTTTTTTTAGTCTGTCTTTAAACGGCTGTACAAAAACTCCAGCAGAGAACATGGCACATTGAGATACTTTCGGGAAGTGCTTAACAGAAGAAATGTGACAGTTGACATCAAGCACTACGAACACTGTGAGCAGTTCTTCATGAGTGTTGGTCACTGTTATCTGATTGAAGCACTGCTTCAGTTCTTCAAGATGGAAGATATTAAAGGGTTGCCAAAAGAGAACGATCCTTTTCTCCATCACAATGAAAGTGATGAAGAAAAGAAGGCCCATGTTTTAGAAGTACTGGACAAGTTTGTTCAACAGTTTCTTTGTCCAACTGATGTTGATGACAGTACTGACTCTTTAGATGATGACAGCACTACCTCAGATGGTGTATTTAATTATGCACTCAACCTATTGAAGTCATTTATGGTTCTTCTGGATTGCAAGGATGCTGTAGCTTCTGGAAATGGTGAGCATTTGGCCACAATCCAGAAACAGATGTTATTCTATTTCTCATCTGTTTCTGGATATAATGTTTATGCCATTGAGATGCTTATATTTACCATCCAGAATGAAATATTGTTATCACCTCGAGAAGCACATCAGTGTAAGTGGGCAGCTTTGGCTAACTGGAGCGGAGGTAAAGACAAAAACATAGAGATTGATTTATTACAGGAAAACCGGAATGCAGATCTCAAAGGGCTTATTCGGATGATGGGGGCCAACAAGACAGAGAAAGCCATTGGGAGGATGAGTAAAGCTGCTGGAGGGGTACGTAAGATCGTTGATGTGTTCGACGAACAGGCATCCATTAGACGTAAATCTTCAGCCCATTCCCATCGGTCATCGTCTGAAGATGAGAATAAAATCTCCTCAGATTTGCACAAATTAAAGCCCTTCGCTTTCCTGGGTGGTCGATCTCACTCTTCATTTGTGGGGATTTCTTCAGACCCATTGGAAGATTTAAATGAAGAAGCGTTTTGTGAATGGCTTAAGCGACATCAAAGGAATATTGCATTGCATTTCCCAACAGTTGAAGAAGCACCTACTGTACATGCAGATGCAGAGGATGATGAACAAAGTGAGGATTTCAGTGAACTAATGCACTCGCTATTAATTGATGACGTCACAGATGATATCTAAAACAACACTAAATTGCCATTACCCATATATAGTCTGAAGGAACATTTGCCTGTTCCCTCTACTGTCTTTCTCTACTATTTCTGAATGTTTTCACTTGTTTATTGAATAACCTTGAACATCAATTCCAAATTGTTAATGTTCAATGTTATCATCAAGTAAGAGTAATTGTCTTTGTACAAGTTATTGTCTTTCCCAGCAAAGCTCACTTTGAAGAGAATTTATTGATTTAAAGTGAGACTGGTGGTAAAGATAAAATCATATAACAGAAAGTCCACATGAGTTCTCCTGTCCCCAATCTGGTGCAGCAAAATTGCTACAAAAATTATACTAAAGTCAAATTTTAATGTATATGTGTGCATTCTGTAAATGATTTATGTAAATATCTGTAAATAATGTTTAAAAGTTCATTTGGGAATCATGTAAATTTTTGTATATATAATAAGAGATTAAAAATTTTCCTATGTGACAAAAAAGGAAACCAACAAGATAATTCACACAGTAACATTACTGCTTTATATAGTATTTATCAAATTGGCATGTTTATTTAAATTTGTGCAATGATGATTTCTCCCCAAAACATTTTAAATTTATATGTTATGTATATTCCCTCTAACTTTAACAAATGAAGTTATTAACTAAACTTATCCATATATATTGACTGGTGCATAACATATTTTCTTTCTATATCAGTTAATACAACTTGAGCAATTACATTTCAACTCACAAACACTACAGCAAATGTGCTTAGGATAAACAGGTGTTATGTTATATGGTTCAGTGTCCAGTGAAGTGAGCAAGATATTTCTAAGGCAATCGCACTTGCTTTGGCACAATGTCCTAATAGCATCTTGCATCCCTGGCTTATTTCTTGCAATGTCATGATTATTGTAGTGAAGCACTGCAGTTGCAGGTTGCCCATCTCTTCCAGCCCTGCCAGTTTCCTGAAAATATGCCTGGATGGTACGTGGCGGGGTAAGATGCACAACACTTCGTATACATTTAATATCGACTCCCATCCCAAGAGCAACTGTGGCAAAATACCACCCTTACAGTACTTTCAGGAGAACACAATTGCTTAAGAACTTCATCTTTCATTTCCTGTGTTTGTGGTGAATGAAATAGAGCAAACAGTCTATTCTCTGGCACTGGTGCTGATCCTTTTGGAAAATACTGACTGCTTCCCAAAACAGACTCAAACAATTTGTAAGCAAACCCACACCACTTCAATGGGATGTATATAATTGTCAAAGGATAGTTTTTCTGTGCCTTCAACAAGTCCTGTGCAATTGGAGTAAGAATGTTTATTATTGAGTCCACATCTGGTTGACCTCTGAAATGTTTTTTGTAGGTAATGTTTCTCCGGTCAGGATTACCAATGACTTCGGTACATTCTTTAAGGCCCAATGATTTTTTAATAGATTCTCTATCACTTTTACTCGCTGTAGCAGTCATGGCAACAACTGGTACACTTGAAAACGTTGCACATAACACAGACAAATTGCCATAATCGACTCTGAAATGTTGACCCCTGAAATGACAGATGTAATTTTTAATAGTAAGCACAGCACTATGTACTGGTTGATTGATTTGCTCACATATTATATCACATTTACTTGCATAAGGATTATTCTCATTTATAATAGTTTTCACACAAATTATAAAAGTTTAACTTTACCACTGTAAAATGCAATGGGCTTCATCCACAACAATGGCGCAGACGTTTTCCTGGTAAGGTTTGCTCTGCATCAACTTTCTTCCATAAGGACAAGAAACCAACGCTTCAGGGTGTGCGAACACATATTATAGTGTCCGATTTCAAGTTTGGCTTTGTCGCTGAGACGAAAATCACAGACAAGTTCAGATTCTATGTCGTCTTCCTCAACACACTCTGATGAATTGGTTACATCGAGAGCAGACGCCCGAATTCCACTCAAGTCTAGCCGCAAAATCTGGTTTTCTATCAGCGCGTTTAAAGGTGATACAACAACAATAATTGATGTTATGTTTGCTGTGCTTTTTGGGACACCTTTCTTCTTCGCATACAGCAAGGCAGGAAGCAAGCAAAAAATCAACGATTTACCGTATCCTGTTGGTAGAACAGCAAGAATATCCGAATTTAAAAAGATCCTTTCTAGGCAAATTACTTGTTTAGGTTTTAAAACAACCTCGCTGTAAAAGCTATTTAACAGAGCGAACTCTAAGCACGAGAGAAAATGCCGACACTTCGAGTTTTTCAACATGGCGACTTGCGGGATAGCCTGCGATCGGGCTCTCATATAGGCAGCCGATATGCCACCCCCCCAAAGGTTGACAATTTTCCTAAGGTCACATGACCAGCCGACACCAGGGTCTTTCCCGCAGTGCTTTCCCCCCACTGTGCCCCCAGGAAAGCCTACAAAAGACCCTGGGTACGAGGTTGGGATATACCGAGTGAAACAGTGAAAGTGCCAGAGTGCCAAATTATGATTGATCACAAATTATGAAATTAATCACTAAGTAATCAAGAAAATCCACTGTTGAATATTTTCTCTCGCTTTTATTTGTGCCCAAGAAGTCCTTGTAACAACCTAAAAGGCACACATTACGTATACTTGCTGGTGCACACGGTACTTTACACCGAACAGAGCCTATAGCCACACTGGAACAGCTGTAAAAAGCTGCGGGTATGCGGGTACCCCGAAGGGAATTTGGCTATATTTCAGAAAGGGAATTACTCGGTTTGTTACTCGGTCAGTGCAGTCAGTGCATAGGCATAGAAGAGTCTGCCTCTCGGTCAAAAAGATAATTTCGAAGAAATGTCAGGATGAAACGGATCAAACCCCTGACATCGATGAAACGAGTTCAAGCAGCAATTGTAAATCTGATGTAATCTAAATCAAACCCCCGCAATTCTCATGGTATTTCTAAATCAGTAGCTGTGGTACATAAGCTAGAGTATATTACACAATCTTGTAAAAGACTATCGGGTGTAGCATTTCAGGACAGAGGGACCCTAGTGTGCTGACTTCAGAACTTCCTACACAATATGCCCCCCCCCCCCTCCGCCACATATAGAAATTTGTGATAAAAGAACGTTTTCGTAATAGTACTGTCAGATATATCCAATGAAAATTCAACATTGTTAGCATTGTTATAAAAATATATAAGAATATTGATGCAGGCACTTTTCAATTTTCAATATCAAATATGTCTATAGTTTTAACATTAACATGCAAAGCTTAAAAATCCTATATATAAAATATTGCCGCGGCCGTGGCCGCCGTGCCTTGTTCACAATCCAACTGGCAGGCAAACAATAGATGAGTAAAGCTCTTCTGTCTGAACAAAATATTCAGGTTTGATAAATATTCTCCTGCATGGGTATTTTAACTGCCAGGAAATGTGAGCAAACTGACAAAAAGCCATAATCTTGGATCAATACGAGAATCTAGTTCTTCCATGGGAGTCTTCCTCTAATAGACGTTTTGAATTTTTCTTTATCGGTTAATCTGCGAGTTTCTTGATATATATCTTGAAGCGTAGTTTTTGTATCAGCGACCTTTAAAAAATAAAGGAAAGTCATCAACCCAATCCCCTTTGGCTAACTCAATAATAGAAACTTCTATTCCTTACACCGCGCGTTTCAACTTACTTTGGGTGAGTGTTATCAAACACAAGCATGACATTGCCTGGACACGTTATTTCAATCTGCTTTTTAACGCCTCGTTCATGTGAATTCAGTTGACATAGAGGAACTAAAGTCTACAAAAAGATATATAAGCACTTACTAATCCCATTTACTAATACATGCATGTACAAATTTTTGAACTATAATAGAACAGATATAACCAGAATTATATGTCTCTTTAAATTGCTTTTTTGATTACCTAAGTCTTTACGCCGTAGATGTTGAATATATAATATATACCTTTGATGCAGAAAAGCTCTCGGTCTCTTGGAAAGCTGCACCAAATAAGACATCCTATCCGTAAGTAATAAGCAAGATAAATAAATTTAACAATTTTGATACCTTGCAGTTGAAGCATTCGACCAATAACCAAGCGTATTGAAATAATTGTTGTAACGGCCTTTTTTCAAATTGTGTAAAACAATCAATAATTTTTGTACCTGTTCAGAGGTATTAAACTCAACTAGAAGTCGCAAGGCGGCAAGAACCTCCACAAACATAAGATATCGTTTTCTAGCAGGTATTGTCACTTCGCTCCAATCTTGAGAACCATCACCAGGAATTAATTTTGTACTATGTTTAATACTCAGACTATCATTTTGCAGTGACCAACTTAGAGAATCTTCACTGACATCATTTTGACCTATTATCTGGAAAGTGTCATCAGAGTCATCGCTGTCGTCGATACTTTGTCTACGTTCATGAACGATTTCTTGATTTGATGAAACATCTGAATGAGGTCTATACCTCCGATCAATTGCTTCGCTCTTCATTGACTTACTGGGTGTTGATTGTTGGTCCTCTTCAGTGTCACTACCACGAGAGTCTATACTCAAATTACTATCATTTTGACTAGTCAACCACGATGTGTCAGTTTTCAGTTCCTTTTCTTTCTGATAGCATGAAGTACATGCGCGATACGGTTTTCTGCAACAAAACAAAACGCAGAAAGAAATAGCATATATATGGAATAAAAATGTGTAAAATTTCAAGGAAACTTAAACTTGACCCCGTTCCACTCCACGCTAATCTATCCCGATAACCCTACTCCCAGCCCTAACCCTAATAAATACATTAAATAATTAAACCTGCTGTGAATAGTCTTCACAAAGTTGTCAGAACAGTTATGACAGAAAACATTGCCACAAAATCGGCAGTGATGCTAAAGACAAAAAGGGAACATATATATTTTACAATTCGTTTATTATTAATATGATAATAAAACGAATAGACAAAATCACAGTTCACTCATTGTATCTTTTAGTAAATACAACTTACAGGATATAATATCAAGAAAAATGGGAACAATTAATAATATCTCACCTTTCTTACAAATAAGGTAAACTCAGTGTTGCATTGTGGACAATTTGTGACGTTTTTGTCTTCCACCCATGTCTCTGACAATCTGGTTTTCATGTCAAACTCCAGTTGGGTAGATTTCTTCCACAGCTCAGATTTATCACTACATGAAAATGTAACGTATTTTTACCACAATCATCGTTTCGCAGGGATTTCTCCAAAGCCAATGTTACTAGTTACAACGAGATACTGGCAATGACAGTACAAGGCAATTATACCTTAAAAGTGAAACCAACTTCGTCTTCAGTTGTTGAACAACCTCCTCCAATTCACTCTTCTCCTCTTCCAAGATTTTTTCATTCTCGCTCCTTTGCTCCCTGATTTCCTTAATCGTGTTTTTATATTCCAGTTTTCTGCTCTTCTCCTTCTCAAATTTCTTCTTTGATAACATTAATGTATTTTCAATTGACCGAATTTCTTGCTTGTCAGCATCAATGTGACCGTTTAAAACTTTTATCTGCAATTAAAATAATAAAGACCTAATACGATCCTGCACAATGTCTCTTTAAAGCAAGGCAGTAAGTAGTAAAGGCAACTGCGAAATTGTTCACATTTATGATTCAGAATTTATATTTACCATGAATCGTTAAACAACTGTGTGGGAGACCTTACCTCATTCTTAAGTAGTTTGATATCACTTGTTAGTTTCTTTTTCTCAGTTTGCCATGATTCGTTTCGTTCTTTCAACTTATTTTCAAGATCAGTTATAGTCTCTTCATGTTCCTGAATTGTTTCCCTCAAGGCCACTGCTTCTTGCTTTTCCTCTGACAATGTCTATATAAAATTATTTTCACAGGCACTTTGATTGCATGAATTATTTACTTATAGCAGACGGATGTACATAGACGCTAAAGCAGTATAGCTGAAGAACGTATTGGTTTCAATGCTGCTTTGCTATCTCTCTAGATTATTTAAATATCAAAAGCTCTGCATGCAGTACCAACCTTAATTTCCTCATCGTACTTAAGAGCTTCCGAACTTAACTGAAACTTTAACGATGAAATTTGTTGTTCCATTGTACACTGCAAGTTAACAATTTGTTCTTTATAGCTCGCTATTTTGGTATCCATCTCTTCCTTTAGCTTCGCCGACTCTCCCAACAGTTCTTCCATTGTTGCTAGTTCATTTTTCTTTTCATATAAACTGGAAGTTGTTAACTCTAACCTTTCCTCTTTCTTCTTCACTAAATCATCATTCAGTTCCTTGCATTTGGCTCCAAATTTCTCATTTTCCACTTTGAGCCTATCAATTTCTTTCAAGGAAACAGCCTGTTCAGTTTTTTCCTTGTTCAGTTGTTCGTTAATATCGGAGACCTCGTTCTCAAGAACAAGTTTTAAATAGCATTCTTCTTGCAGTTTCTCGTTGACGTTTTGTATCTCTGAGTCAATCTCTGACTTTTCGTTTTCCAAACAATGTATTGTATCTAACAGCTTAGTTTTTTCCTGTGTTAATATAAGAACTTGATCCTGCAGTTCCGCCTTATCTTTCTAAAATAAAATGGAAAAAAATGAAAGAGGTCGTGGCCCACACGAAAGATCGAGCACATTTTAAGAACATATAATGTTACCTGCTGAACTTGTCCATCAAGCAATGACGTGGCCCTCTCCTTTTTCATGTCCTCGTTGAGTTGAATAATCCTGCAAAAATACACGCGTTAAACTGATATACTATCCTAAACCTGCTTGCACTCTTTGAACATACGCTCAGTTGATCGGATATGCTCAAAAGTATTTCACTGCATCACGCAGTAACCAAAAACCATCAAATTATTTAAAAAGTTTTGAAAAACTGTTCTCAAAGAACAAACAACAGAAATTAATCTTCTTTTTCACAAACTGTTTTTCTGACTATTTATTCTCCAATACCAGATTTTTTGGAACGTTTTCGAATTTTTTTGCTCCTTTGCATGTCCTACATGAAGTCTGGCAAAACTACAACATGTCAAATTTAATCACCTTTCATTTTCCACTGACAGGGATTCACATCGAGTATCTAGTTTCTCCTTTTCTTCCACAGCTTTTGCCAAAGCTTCTCTGGCAGTAATTATGTGGTTATCAAGCTCGTTTAAATTATTGACCAAACATTTGCAATTGTCCTCAAGAGATTTCATATCGTGCATTTCTTGCTCGGTATTGTGCATTATTTCGTCAGTGTTATTGTGCAACAGCTTCGATAAATTCATGTTTGCTGATCCAATTGTTTCAAGCAACAGTTTCACCTCCAGTTTAGCTTCACTTATCTCAATTTCTAGATGCTGTTCTTTGTCTTCTATTAGTTCATTTTGCGATTTTCTACTTATAAATTCCTGTAGCTCTCTTTTCAGTTTTTCGTTTTCAATGGTCAACTGAAATAGGCGTTCTTGCAACGTTTTGTTCTCGTTGTCCTTATCTTCCAAGCCTTTTTCCTTATCAAGTAATTGCGATTTGTAATAAGATTCAAAGTCTTCAAACGAACCGAAAACCAAGCCATTTACATTTTCAAATGCTTCTTGTATTTTGTCTTTCTCTAACGTTTTTATATTCAACATTGATTCACTTTCCTCAAGTTTACGATGTAATAAGGATTGGGTTTCTTTACCAAGCTCGACCTCTGATTTAAGGTCGTTAACTTCCTCCTGAAACGTTCGTTTATCAGTCAAATGTACCTCAATTCCTCTCTTCAGAGCACAAATCTCATCTTCTAACAGTTTTGTACTTTTCTTTGAATCACTTAAATCTTGTTCAAGAGCTAGCACAGACTGCTGGGAATCTTTATATTGCTTTAAGACTTGATTTAGTTCTTCCCTCAAACTGTTTAGCTTTGTTTGTTTGTCCGAAATCGCGTCCTCTGTACTTCGTAGTTTGTTTTGCAAATCAGTAATTTGTAACGTTGCTTCTTTTGAAGCCAAATTAGAAAGGTTTTGATGTTTCTCAGCCAGCTGTGAAAGTTGTGTGTTCGATTCTTGTGAAAGACGGTTGTTTTCCTCCATAAGCCTCTGTATTTCATGCTCAGCTTTGTAATGTTTGGCATTCATCAAAGACTTCCACTTTAAAACAAACTGATGAAGACGAGATACGTCTAAGGTAATCTCATTGATGCTAGGTTGGGCATCATCTGTTGAAGACATGCTGCACTCTCCAAACCCATCATCGGTGCTGCATTGTTCAATTTCCAGTTCTCTACTGATCATATGTTTTAAAGCTGATATTTCTGCATTCAAAGCGATCAAGGGATCAATTCTTTCGTTCTTAACGAAGAGAGAGATCAATATTAATTTACGCTTAGATAGCATTGCAAATGTTATAATTAATAGCAATGAAAGCGTTGTAAGTATAGTAAGAGCTGACCACTAGAACTACCATGGTCCATGGATGGCATGGACCGATGACGAAACCATCCAGAAATCATTTGGTTAAGACTTAAGTGCACGCGCAACAACTCACCGTAAAATCTGTTGTACTTGCGATACTTTCAGCACTGTTTCTCCTCGATCTTTTTTCGAATCCATCAACGAAGTTTCTGAACAAAAATATTAATTTTTACACGGTTATCTATTTTATAGTGAAAGGTCTATATAACAAATACACCTAATGCACCTACATACCTGCCATACGAAGGCCATGAAATATCCAAGTTACACCCTGTACAAGATAGATGAAACTCTAACTCATTCAAGTCATACAGTTTTCCAACCAATTCAGCACTAAGAGAGCTATTTAGTAGCAATGCATCTTGTGTGTACCATTCCCTATATTAATTAAGGAACAAATGCCAAAAATTTCTAAAGTAATAACTTTGGACATAAGGTCATATTAGTAAGGAATAATTTAATAAGATCGCTGGATTTGATCAGATAGCATAATTCAAAAGGAACAGAATGTTCAATGTTAATTTGAGTGAAAGGAGGTCTACACTGTATCCAAACAAAGACAGAATCATTCTTGATTACAATTCTATAAATTAGTAGTAGATCAGATGAATTTTTTGTTGTATTAGCTTTTCTGCTTATTTCATTAACTTTCAGCAGAGCTTTGTACAGCTACTAGCTTTGCTGAATATATACTTGCATTGAAAGTCATAGATGCATGTGAATGCCTTGATGACAAAGTATAACTGAGCTCAAATGAATACAGCCTTTTAAAAACAAACTCAGAAAACTCACATCTTCTTCCTGTGCATTAGTGTTCTTTGAATGGTATCAGCCAAAGTCTTTTGCACCAGACAATAACGGATCAATGCCCTTCCTTTTCCCTGAACTGTGTGTAACTTTAATTTTAAAATAAATTCAAATTTCAAAAATTTAGGTAAAATTCTTGCTGGCAGAATTTAAGTACAGACCTGTATAAAAAGCCTGCAGTGTGACATGGTTTAGAGACAAAGTATCTTCCCTAGCTAACTGGTAGCATTGGCCAATTAATTAGAAGCATGCTTTGTTTGCAAACTATGTCATAATGGTTAATGGAGAGTTTTTATGTATGTCTATACAATAACTCCGTACACGGTGATATATCAGCAATAGTAATGTTGCTTATTTATACCTGTGATAAAGAATTGACATATCTCACACCCTCATCTTTTGGTAGACATTCAGAAAAAAAGTTCCAGTAATCCTTTCTCATTCCAAGAAATGAATACTTATCTGTAAATTCAATGATTTTAAATTTAAATCATATTTCTAAGTATATATCCATCACCTCCTCCTAACTCAATAATCTCCCTAACACATTGCTTATGTAACCATTTGAATATGCCTCTAGTATATCAAAAATAAACAAACAATGCAATTTATATTGCTAATATACTCTGTAGCTGCCCATTTGTATATACACCCATTTGTAAAAACGTTGGCCGCAGATAGATATATACTCGAAATCTAATTAGAATTGCATATGTTGTGTAATATGAATGAAATCCCATGCAAATGTAATCATATGCAATTCTAATTAGATTTCAAGTATCTATCTATCTATCTATCTGCGGCCAATGTTTTTTATATTCTATTCTAATAATTTTATGTAAATAATATTGTAAATCACGTGGACAAATCATTAAATAAATAAATGGGTATATATATATATATATATATATATATATATATAAAAAAAAAAAAAGGTGACCGCTATATACATTAATGTTAATGTACCTTTCATGCCATTCCTCAATGCAGTTTCCAGTTTTACACACAATTTTTGTAACGCAATTTCATTGTCATCAATTGGATCTTTGTTCTCAAAATATTTTGACTTCAACTGGGCAACAAATCCTAGGCATAATAATGGTTAATTCAAACTAGTTATTATGGCTTATCATGAGAATGCTATCCAACAATGAGGTTTGTAAAATCATCTGACATGGCAACATGAGCAGATCAAGCAGAATGTCTGGTGATTTATATTCAAAATTTCAAACAAAATTATATTAAACTGAGGCATAGAACAAATTCCACACAATGTTTTGTAAATTTGGGTTATTTTTATCCTGAATATTTGAGAATCTATAACTCAAGTCTCAACTATAGCCAATATTGTTTAGGAAATTAAGTGGGAGTAATGAATAACATTTAAATTATTTACCCATTGACCTGGCTGCTTAAGGCAGAATTGTTCATGGCAAACTGTGTTCACATTATTTGATATTTATAGGCTGATACGGATTCTAATGTTGTATATATGTATAACCTAGTAATTCCTTGTAGACAATGTCAGCCATACTGGAGTTCCAATGATAATGACTCTAAGGCTATGATGTAGCCAAGGCCTATGATTTAGATTTATTACGATCGAGGAGAAATGTGTTGATACATGTAGCAAATCTTATGATCAAAATTGGCTTTTCGTGACCCTCAAAAGAAATTAAAAATACTAAATTGTACAACACGCCTGTACGTGATCTGCAAAAAATACAAATACACAAAATCACAAATCGCAAAGTTTCGCCATCTTTGCTATACAAGCTGAAAGCTATTTAGTAAACCCTCTTTTATTTATATATTTATATATTTATATATAAACACAAAAGTTGTTCATTGTTGCACAATGAAAAATAAACGAAACTAGACTGTATATCTGACCTTTGATATCGTTCACGAGACGGCTAACATCTATGACATACGGTTCCATAATTTCTGACTCACACGAGAATGCAATTAGTTTTAACCCCCAAGCAAAATATTCACCGTCGTAAAATCATATTCCCTAGGTCTAACCAGAGTCTAACAAAGAACTGTAATTTGGAATTTTTGTTTCGTGCTCGAACAGTCGAAATAGAACAATAACAATGAGTTGGATAAATATGGTGCAAAGCCTACACTTAGGGGAACTCTAGGATTTGAGGGGACTGTGTCAAACGTAAAAAATTACGATGACTTACTAACAAAGACTCTATAAGGAGCTTGAATAAGGCGGGTTAGGTGCTAGAAATATCACAGAGAAATAGCTAGATACTGATTACTGAGCCCTTATGATCAGTGCGGACGGAGCTGGCCTATTTTACTTTATATTTCTCCGTCAAGGCTAGTTTCCACTCAGGAAAAATCTCCTTTGGTTCGGAACGGACAGGAAAATTTCCTTTGTCGGTGAGTTTTCAGGCGGTGTTTATACAAAGGAAACTTTCCTGTCCTGTCCTGTCCTGTCCTGTCCGATCCAAAGGAGAATTTTCCTGAGTGGAAACTAGTCTTCACGGGATAATTCGGGTCGGAACATGAGATTTATTTCCCTTAGAAGTGCGAGTCCTTAGAGCTACATTAAAAATTCTTTTCTTTTTGCCACCGAAATAATTAACATTATTTACGGTATTAAATTATAATTAGAGCCTGTTCATATGAGACAGTGCTGGGATTTCGCCTCACATATTATTTCACAATATTTGTAAAATTGAATTCATATGGCTAGATTCCGCCTGAACGTAGCCTGTGCACAGCCTGCATTATGCACCGTACTACCTGCGTATGAAAACATCAAGCGGGCCAGCAAAAGCGAGCCGGGCTGGCCTGTCTAATATGAAGAGGCCCTTACTTGGACGTCCTGGACTCCTGGTAAGTGGTGATGATACTACAATAAAAATGAGTTGGATTTTGAGCTTTCTTTGGAACATGATACAGGACGTATTCAGTTATCCTAATTTCTAAATTTCTGCCTGTACAGATTCCCACATAATTATTAGGACGTGCATGTTGGCATGTTGCAGATGCAGATGCAGATGTACTTCCTGGTTATGATGCAGCAAAAACAAATTAAATTCCGGTCATGTGATTTCCCAGAATGCCCATTCTGGGTATATATTGCTTGGATCAGAGTCTAAAAGTTGAGATGATCTTGTATGTGTGTCTGCATTTTTGAACTCTGGCTGTACAATTAAGGAAACTTGAATCCTCGTATCTGTAGACGCACTATCATCTCCATATCCGCACAACCACGATCTGTGCTATAGCAATTATAGCAATAAAACCAGAGAAGGATGTGTGACAGCCAATATATCATACATGGGTATGATAACTATGATTACGACGCATTGTTGCTGCAGTTGTCTCGCCAGCTTAAATCAAATGAAGCTGAATTTGAAGAATTTAAATTTGTATTAAGAGATTGTATTCCGGACGGAAAAAGAGAGAAACTAGGGACACCTTTGAAAGTATTTAAACACCTTGAACAACTCGAACTTCTCGGACCAGATAATCTTGACAGACTTAAAGAGTGGCTTGAATTGATAAACGAGGAGTTACGTGCCATGGTATCCAGCTTTATGGAAAAGCGCATTGCAAGACGAGTAAGGTGACCTAATAAATGGCATAGATGAAAGAAGAAAAATATCGCTCGGCACACTCTCAGAGCCTGGGTTTATCCCCGGATTTAAGCGTGTGGTGTGCTATCTTTTTTATATAGTTCATGAACGATGAAAATGCGCTGCATGGAGGTTTCCGTGAAATCAGAAAGATTAGTCGAAAGTGTATATAGTATAGTGGCATCTCGGTTTAGTTTAACTTTAACATAGGCATTTAAGAGAATCTTTATAAAAGAGATAGATGTAATAAGAAGATACACGGCACACTCTCAGAGCCTGGGTTTATCCCTTGATTTAAGCGTGTGGTGTGCTATCTTTTGATATATAGTACATGAACGATAAAAATGCGCTGCTTGGACTATCCTTTAGGAAGATCAGCCGAAAATGTATATACTATATAGTATAGTGGTGTCTCGGTAACCTTAGCATAGGCATCTTTCTAAAGAGAATCTTTCTAAAAGAGATGGGCGTTTCAATAAGAAGATTCATCAGAGAAATTGTCGAAGTCGACTGTAGACAATGCAGGTAAGGAAACGTTTGTTCCGTCTTAATGTTTATGTCGTATTCATGCGGTAACAAATGAAATATGTCGATATATGCCAATAGTTTCTCTGACCGTATTGAAGAACACAGTTAAAACACATTTTATGTTATTCAGCATCGATCATGCACGACAAATGAACTTACATATTGATGCTTCAGATTCGTCTCTGGGTAATGTATATACCATACAGGGAAAAGGGGAGTGCTGTTTTCCCTTTTGCCATATGCGTCACGAAACATTTACTTATTTACATATGTTGCGAGATATTTGCATAAAGTATTTCGCGTATGAAATATTTGCATAAAATATTTACATGAAATTTTCAGAGTAGCAGATAAAGATACAGATAGAACTAATCTATTTATCCAATTTTTGAAATATTTTCCAATATCATATGACAGGATATTCAGCTATATATATATATATATATATATATATATATATATATATATATATATATATATATATATATATATATATATATAGCTGAATATCCTGTCATATGATATCCTGTCATATGATATTGGAAAATATTTCAAAAATTGGATATATATATATATATATATATATATATATATATATATATATATATATATATATATATACGATAACGAAGCTCGTGGTTTATAGCATATAGTGTTTGGAATTTATTTATGTAGAGGCATGTCTGCCCCTCTTGACCCCCTATCACAAATGAAAAGGCAGGAAGAATCATCACTCCCCTTGTAATCAAGCCGATTAATAAAGAGAAAAACAAAGCATTCCATGCACTTCAAAAAAGATTAACGCAATCAGATTATCAGATTCTAACAAAGGCTTGATTTCAATAGAGGGGGCATTTTTTGGGACACCCTACAGCTGTCATTACATTGTACCCATCTTTGCGCTCACCTTAGTGCTGGGGTATAGAAATTCTAACAATAAAGGCTATTTTAATAATTCTGAATTCTTATAAGAGCCTGCATGTACTTGTTTTCGAAATAAAAAATCACGTATTTATCGATTGGCTATATGCATGTCCATGCTTGTACAGTTGTCCGGCTAACAAAAATCGTTCCTAAACTTGACGCGCACAAAAGCTATCATCTCACATGCATGTTTGCGTATTCAAGTCACATAACAAAGGCGGACCACAGAGAAATAGCTAGTATACTCATGATAAGTGTGGACGGAGCCGGCCTATTTAACCATTACGTACGGCATAATTTATATCTCTCCGTCACGGGATAATTCGGGTCGGAACATGAGATTCATTTTCCTAAGAAGTGCAAGTCCTTACAGCTATTTTAAAAAATCCTCTCTTTTTGCCACCTAAACATTATTTACGATATTAATTCATAATTAGGGCCTGTTCATATGAGACGGGCCAGCCCGGTTTAGCCAGCTAGGCTAGCTCGGCAGTGCTGGAATTTCGCTTCACATATTATTTCACTATATTTGTAAAATTGCGTTCATATGGAACCGGGCTAGCCGTCTGGCGAGATCCAAACCTGAACAAAGCTAGTATGACCTGGCCTGGCCTGAACAAAGCTAGTATGAAAACATCAAGTGGGCAAAAGTCTCATATGAACAAGCCCTTATATTACTTGGACGTCCTGGTAATGGTACTACAATAAAAACGAATTTGATTTTTAGCTTTCTCTGGAACATGATAGAGGGGGTATTCAGCGCATACATCTCCGTATATTAACAACTTATTTATCCTAAATATAGGCCTGTACAGATTCCACATAATTATTTGGACGTGCATGTCGGCATGTCGCAGATGTACTTCCTGGTAATGATACAATAAAAACAAATTCCGGTCATATGATTTCCCAGAATTCCCACTCTGGGTATATAATTGCTTGGATCTAAAAGTTGAAATGATTTTGTTATGTGTGTCTGTAATTCGGAAATGATCTCAGAATTCCTATATTCCTATAACTCGTAGACACACTATCATCTCCATATCCGCACAACAACGATTTGGGCTATAGCAATTATCGAGAGACTACTGACTATCGTACTAGTAAAACCAGAGAAAAATGGATGACAGCCAAGAAATCGTACAAGAGTATGAATATAATGCTCTGTTGCTGGAACTATGTCGTTATTTTGAATTAAACGAAACTAAATTCAAAACACTTAAATTTTTGTTAAGACATCGTATTCCAGACGGAAAAAGAGAGAGACTAGAAACACCTTTCGATATATTTGAACATCTTGAAAAACTCGGACTTCTCGGGCCAAACAACCTTTGCGGACTCGAAAAGTTACTTCGACTGATGAAGATACCTGAGTTATGTGACAAGGTGCGCGGCTTTATCGCCAACCGCAAGAAGAATATGGTGCTCTCTCATGGGTAGATGAATGAAAAAAAAGATTGCCTCGGCACACTCTCGGAGCCTGGGTTTATCCCTGGATTTAAGCGTGTGGTGTGCTATCTTTTTTACATAGTTCATGGAAGGTGAAAATGCATTGCTTATAGTCTATGTTGTTTGTTTCGGCAAAATCAGGAAGGTTAGTCAAAAATCAATGGCGAGGTTAGTGGTATCTTGCAGCTTGTTTAACATAGAGGATTAGAGCATTTTTAACAGAGATAAGAGTCTCAATAAGAAGATATACACCATGTATGCAGTGCCAAAGAAATTCAGAATCGTCGACTGTAGTCGTGTAGACAATGCAGGTAAGGAAACGTTTGTTCTGTCTGACTGTAATGTTTATCAATATCACTATC